TTAAAAATTTTAACGTTGACGACTCGGTTTGAGGGTGGTTTTTTAGATGCAAGTGCTATACCTGCATTCAAGATACTGGGAAGTGTTGTGCTTTACACTCCGATATATGTAATAGTTTCCACAAATAATTACATACTGTGGATGTTGAGCTGTGCCAGTGTTTTCATGATTTGTTATAAGTGCCTCTGAAGATGGTTCCTTGGAACCGAAACATGTAAGGCAGATGAGATAGATAAGTGACCAAAATATATATTGTTGCACTTGACGGAAAATCTATTGACAATTGGGGAAAACAATAACAGTTTAATAAAAAGAAATTATATTAAAATTCCAAGAATGTCTGTCCCTAATGTTTCCGATCCAAAAATAACTCTCCACTGAAGTTTTACCACCCCACCTTTCACCCTTGTCAAGTCACCAGTGTCAGTCTAGTCACCTGTTGTTCAGATCAGGCGTGTTATTCTGTGTGAATTCGCACAAATACATTTTTGTCTCTTACTTCTTACTTACGACTTCTGAACTGAACTAAACTCATCGGCACATACCACCCACAGAAAACACATAAATTGCTCAGCAATGGATATCATGTATTGTTAACAGGCATGTCCACCCATGCATTGCCCAGCAATGTATGCCCAACTGTTGCACATTCATTGCTGTGATAGGTGTTTACCAGTCTGCTACCTTGCAATGGACACCTTTCTGTTGTTGGTTGCACAGTGGTTGGAACATGTTTACCCATTTGTCTCCTAGAAACGGCCCAATCTGTCACAATATTCTTACTTTCACTGAAAAAATGAATTCTTTTAAGGAAAACTAACAATGTGGGGAGCCAGAATAAAAAAAGAACAAAGTTAAAATATTTGATCTGACAAAAGTTTCAGATTGGACAAAAATCTTGTTGATTTCATTCTACAAAGTTTGTCACTGCTGAGTCACGGCAAAATAAACCTCAAATTACATACCTCTGCAAGCTTCAGAGCTGATGACTGATTGCAGAATCGTAGGCAGTCGAATGCCAACACCTCTTGTAGACAAAATGGAATCAACTTGTTCTCTAATCATGTTCTCAAGAAAACCATTCAGAACTGAAATGCCATGACCTTGCACCTATAAAACAAGCATCATTCCCAGCCTGTCAGCATAATTTACAGAATTCTTAAACCTCTTGAGAAAAGGCTCATGATATGCTAAATTGTTTTTACAGCAATCATACACAACTCACTATTAGCTCCTTAATGATTTACAAAAGATAGAGAAAATAATTTTTAGCTGCTTACTAATGCATATGCATCAATTTTTAAAGCCTTGTTCAGCCATCAAACAAGTCACTCTATGTTACATTTGGACTGTACTCTTCATTTTGTATGATTAAATTTGTATCTATTATAATAAGAAATCATACAACATTTTAATCAGAAAACCTGACGAATGACACTACTTGGAGCGATAATATTGAAATGAACCTTAAAAACAATAAAATATGAAGATTTGGACTGGATTCTCACAGCACAGTATAATGTTCACTGATGAGTTCTTCTGAATGTATTGAGCAATGAACCTCCAGGTTTCATAAAAGGCAGGGAATTTCTTGATCACCTCATCAACTTCTCAAGAAGGTTCCTGCACCTTGGAGTTAGTTAACAAACTTATTCAGTAAGCAGTTGATAGAAAACTAATTTATAAGGCACACATCAATAAAGAAATCAAAAGATGGGTAGTGATAAGTAGTACGCATTAGGCAGATGCCTGCTGGCATGATCATTAATGAAAATGTCAGGTATTTCACATATTTTTCATAATTTCAATTTAATTATAACATCCTTATCAAGTAACAGGATAGTACATAACTTATACACTGAATTTAAGGGTTAGAGTGTAGCCAAAATAACTCAATAACCAGTCACAAACATGACCAACCTCTCTTTGCTCTCGAGCCAACAGACATGCTGGAACACTTGTTACTTGTATACTACTATCATCCACTACATCAAATTGAAGTCCGAGTCTTTTAAAATCCTCTCGGAAAGAAGAGAGAATCCTAACTTCTTTGCTGCTCAGATGTAAGGTGATAAAACGATTCACTTCAACTGTTCTGAATTCTGAATCACTGCCTTCAACAAGGTAACCTGCAAGACAGGATACCATATTTCATTAAAACTTCCTGTAAACATTATGTAGGATTTGAGGTTCTCACAGCAGTGAATATGAAGAGTTCTATCTTCTGGGATATAATACCATGAAGTCTACTCAAAGACAACCGACTACAAGGCATTACATCCTAAAAGATAGAACTCTACACAAACACTGTTAAAGAGTTATATATGAATGCAAATACTATGATCAATAAATACTGTAAATACACAAAGAAAAAATATGAAGATTTATAGAGAAGCAAACTTTATTCCATCTTGACTTTTCAAAACAAGCAGATGCAATCACAGCTTCTCATGTGTCAAAACCAGGCATACGCCACTGCCATAACTTATACCAACCTGGATATTTCCCAAATCTACATGGTAATTTGAAGGAAAAAGCATTCTGCAGAATGCTCTTATTCAGCAATTTAAGATCAGTCAATACTGAGAGGTTTAACTACATTCCATTGTACTGAGTTGTGTTTTCCACACATTTGGGCCATAGTAAAAAAGCTTACAATACTGAACCCATAATGACACAAGTATACGCATGGTTACTGGCACTTCAAAGAAGGATCACAGCAATTGGAATATAATCCTCCATAAACAGTTCATAATGATGTCAACACTGCACATATTCATTAAGATATAAAAACATTACCAAATTAATAAAGTCACTATTTCTCCAACAAGTCCTTAACATGAATTGTGCAGGCATATGGTACCCTGAAGTGATGCTGGCAGCACTAAAGAAAATGGTGGATATAAACAATATGAACCTTAACTCCCTTGCACTTGCTTGGTTTTATTGCACCCTGAACGGCAATAATACTGTGATTTATTTAACACAGCTGCTCCAATGAAAGAATACCTCAAAAAAGAATAATTACATGTGATATGATTTTTATTGTCTGAGGCTTAACAATTAGTGACATTTATAGAAAAGTGACAATTCAGTATAACAATAACTGCATGAGCCAGATGAAATTTATGGATGGTAGAAAGATTCAAAGCGGAGTGGGTGAGTGTTGCTGATAATGGGCATTCTAGGCAGCCATCAACTTATTTATCGAGAAGAGTACATGCAGAATAACAGAAGAATAAAAACTGATGAAATGACATCTCAAATGAGATCACTCATAGAAAGTAGTTCAAGAATGCCTTCAGATCTTATAGAAGGAAAACAAATTAGTTCAGAAATCTGTGGACCACTGGACCAAAAGGCAAGGCTTTTATACATAGAAAAAATAACATTTGTGTAACTCAAGTGTCACTAGTTTTCCACAACTTACAATAAAGATGCTTTGGTTTATTTACAAAGCTTTTTATATATGTATGGATGAAACATTACTCTAAATTTACCAACCTTTCATCAGACTTTCAAGTCTAATGCGTTCATGAACTGCATGCTGATCAAATAAGACAATAACATTTTGATTCTGCCCACTCCTTGGACCAACTAATGTCACAATGAATTTGTTATCCATCTGCCCCAAAACCTGAAGAAAAGAATCAACGTTATAAATTCATCAAAAGTAATTCACTGTAATAAAAATCAGTATAACATAAAAATACAGACATTAAGAATTACACAACTTCTATTTGAGACACTCTACAAAGCATATATTTAACAAACCACATGGAAACATAACTTTACTATCCAATCTCAATATCCATGCTATTAATAAATCACAAAGAATTTTATGAGTCTTATGAAGTCTGGCTTTGTTTTCTTGGTTAGCTTTGCAACAGTAGATCTGTCTCTATTAAATGAATGTCAATGCCAATGAGATGAATAAAATCATTATCAATGCACTCCAAATTTGAGTACACCTTTCCACTCTTGTGGCCACCATTCCTGGCTATAGATCCAGAGGTCCTGGGTTCGATTCCCGGCGCTACCAAATTTCCTGAGAAGTAGTGGGTCTGGAACAGGGTCCACTCAGCCTCGTGAGGATAATTGAGGAGCTATTTCAAGGAAATAGCAGCTCCGGTCTAGAAAACCGAAATTAAAAGCTGTGGGGATTCGTTGCGCTGACCACGCGACACCCTCTATCTCCTAAAGTTGGCACTAAATTCGGCGACAAGCGGTGGTTGCTGTGTCAGTAAAGTGTGCTTGCAAACTAAAACCATGGAGTTTGTTTGCTTGTTTATTTTTTTGTCCACTCTTGTGTCAGAATTGATCTATTATAAACATGTTTGTACTGAACTTATTTTCTCATGGATCAAATGCTATAAATAATTATTTTTTTCCCAGAAACCAGTCAAAGTTAAATATCAGCGACTTCATGTGGATAATTTGTGACAAAGTATATGTAAACAAATTAGAAACATCATGCAAAGTATAGTGAAACAAAAAAAAATTATACTCATACCTGAAGTCTTGTATCCAGAATTTTAGCAAATGTTCATTACTTCAATGCTTTTAGTCACAAAAAATCAAATGAACTAGAACATTTAACACGATCCAACTTTATATTTTTAACTTACATAACTACTTTAACTGTTGGTCAGCCCAGTCTTCAACATGTATGATTAAGACTAAAGACACACCCTTTCCAGTTTACTCTATTAAATCAACTTTGTTTCTAAGGATAAGAGAGCACCTCAATTAGATACAGCATGTTCTGCAATATTCTTTCATTTCTCATTCATACTGATGATAAAATAAACTTAAAAAGGTAAATAAATCACACAACCAAATCCAGAATCAGTAAAGCAAAATGGTGACAAATGCTCAACTGAAGCAGGCTCAGGTCAGTTGAGCGGCAGGGTAAGAAATTAACAGGTAGCAATCATTTCGATGCTTGTATCTCTGAAGCAATGTTTGTATTTGGATAACTGGGTTAATGGATGATATTTGTAACTCTGAGAAGTCAGTAAGCAGGATGTAACTATTCGGAAAAGCAACAAATTCCAGGAAATGTATATAAAAAAAAGGGACATGTCTGCTAACAACGGAACACAAAAGATACAAAACTCTTCTCCGCAGGCTTAAAACATTTGTTTCCTTTGAAATGTTATGGAAATGAGCAAAAATAATAAACATTATAAAATTTCTGTACTGGCAGAAAAGGCTTATTATTAACAGTCGTCAGCAGTAAGTTCGCCATAACAAGCAGCCAACCTGCAAATTTGAGAATATGTCCTTACTAAAGGTGTAAGGGTAGAGCACATTGTATACTTTCACTGTGCTCCTGGGTAGCTCAGCACAAGCATTGGACACCTCCTTCTCACAATATTGCATTCGGCTGTCTGAATCCGCTAGCAGCTTCTTCACTAGGTCCCTGCAATCTATACAATATATATTATATCCTCAGATGGATTATGTTAATGTTATATTACCATGTAACACAACAGATAAATTAAATTTGTTAATGTATTATAATATAGTGTTACTCATTCTGCTTCTGCAATAAATGTGTCATCTTCAGGACTTAAAAAACTCCTGAATACAGGTTACAAAAAGCTATTTAAAGTTCAAAACCCTGTTTACAGAAGTGCTAATAAGTGTGTGTTGAAATGTCAAGCTACAATAAAATTAATTAAATACATTATTTAAAAATGATTACATTAAAATTCTTTATATGAACTAATAGTATGCATGTTTACTGGATTTTCTTATCTGTGGTCACTTCAATCATCCGAAGAAATTCAAAGTGAGTAAAAGAGAATTTCATTGGTAAACTGAATACAAAGGCAAAAGATTATTTTGAGTAAAGTAATACTAAAAGGCTGTCTGTCTGTCTATATATATATATATAGACAACATTACCTGTTCCCTTTGCTTCTTGCATATCCTTCCACTTGACAGTTGCTAATTCATCCACTAAGCTGTAACTGTCTGTGATCACATTACACAGCGTCTGGTGCGAAGTTGGAGTCAAAGTTCTTTCTTCTGACTCCTTGTGAGATCTGTTCACCCCATTTTCCAAAATAGGTGACATCCCTTTGGGTAAGAATGCAAATCTTTTACTCATCGAATACAAATTCTGAGCCATCAATTGGTTAGGTACAATGTAAGATGTCAACCCACTCTCTATATGAACAAAGAATTTTTTACCCCTGGGATCCAATTTTTCTTTCCATCCTTTTGGACATTTTATATTAATGATTTCTGGACTGTGGCTTCTTTTGTCTGTTTCCTTACACACATCCTCTTCAACAGTACTGTCCCCAAGGGTATGCGCAGCTAAACTGTCTTGTCCAGCTATGGGAACATGATTTTCTTGTTTGTTTGTGTCAGATTCTGCTATCTTACTCATAATATTGTCAAAAGCTTCATTTAGTTCTTGAGTGGAAATAGAATTAGACATACATACTTCAGTCGCATCTGCATTACTCTCATATGGTTTACACTTGGGCATGGAAATATTTCCACTTGGTTTCTCCAGGCAGTTCCGTTTCCCGTACGGATTCCGACAATCAATTTCACTCCTTCGTTTTCTGTCCAACAAATGTGATTGTGTCTCCCTTAACTGCTGTCCCACTGTTACTGTACATGAATCAGGATGAAGCAGTTCATTCAAGTTCTGCCCTTTTTCAGTTTGGGGATCCCTGGAGAAAACCCTATATTCAGCTCTACTTTTTGTATCGTTCGAACGAGACAGCTGTCCACATGTAATGAAATCAGTATGTAATGTATTATTTTCATGTAGACTGTCATGAATGTTGACACAATCTGATGATTCATTTCCACCTGTATTATTATACTGCTTCACTTCAAAAAATGACAATATTCCATACTGTTTTTTAGAAATGTTTTCTGAATTAAAAATGCTGTCCTGTCTCAGAGTTTGGGCACTTGCAACCTCAGTAAATTTATCACTGCATGTTACTCCATTATTATTGTTGTTCTTGGCTGGTGACGTACCATTTGTGGGTGAATGGCCTGGTCCATTTGACATACTTCCAGAATTAGCAAGGTGTATGTCCCTTGCACCATTTTTCTTCAATAAGCTGAAAGTGTCAGAAGTACCATAAAGTTCAGCATTCCTTGATAATGATTCTTTAACCAACGGATATTCTTGATCGGAACACTTTTTTCCTCCAGTAAGCACTTCTTTTGCTATCAAATGTGTACTTTCACCATCCCTGCAGCTGCAATTTCTTGATGCTCCACAGTATTCATTATTTCTATCTGACAATCTTTCAGAAGCAAACAGCTGCCCTTGTTCAGAAGATATATTTTTCATTGATGGAAGTTGTGAAGTTTCATTTTCGCTGCATTTATAAGAGCTTGATACTCCACATTTTACAGCGTTACTTGATGAAAACGATTTGGAAAATAAAGACTGCTCTTTTTCACAAGATTTGCTCCCAGAATTATTTTTACTGGCATCATCCAGTTTATCTGTTTCATTATACACATTTTCTGAACCCCCTTGTATTATAGTAACTTTCGGTGATATTATTTCCAGAGGTATATTAGATTTCTCACAAGAAACAATATTTTCTGTCTCTGAAATATTATTTTCATTTCCTACTGTTCTTAAATTATCTTCTTTTCTAGGTAACTCTGTAATGCAAGCAATTTTTGAAGTACTGATAACATTTGATGATGCAATAGGAGACAATTTTGTACATACATTCTCACAAGATAGATTTTTTGAACTTGTTTCTTTAAAATCATGACTTTCTAATACACCTACTGTTCTTTTTCCTACTTCACTGGAGTCCATCTGCCCACAAGAAATAAAAACATCATTTCCTGCAGTAATCTCCATTTCCTTAACTGCATCAGATAATAATTGTGAACAACACATTTCACTTTCAGTTTCATTCCCATTAGAAGAAACTGCTAGTCTGTTTGGAACACATGGAAGGTTTCCTGGAACTTCACTGCATGTTACATTGCACTTATTCAAGGAAAGATCAGAACTTGAATCACTAATTATCATTTTACAGTTATCAGTCCGGTGGAAATGTGACAATGATGGGTTGTAGCTGCTACAAGAACTTGAAGCAATGGTATCATTACTGCCATCCAGTATCTGGGAAACTCTTTCATGCACAGACATCTGTGGGCTTTCATCAACCAATCTGCTCCTGCTTCTTTGTCTATCAGATGATAAACACCTCACACAGTTTTCCTGCCCTTGGAAGAATACAGAAGCTCCTTCACCATGAAGTTCCTTTGCTAACATATTCCATTTCCAACTTTCACATTTCTCAATCGGATAGCAAATTTTTCGCTTCAAAGAATCCTCGGAACAACTTCCATTAATATGTCGTGCCTGTTGATACAAATATTTTTGGTTGATTTTATGACGGGAAAACCTCTTGTTTCCATAAATGTTGTTAAAGGACAATATAGTAACACGTCTCCTTTTTCTAGAGCATGGTTCTGTTTCAGTACAAGATTCAACATCTGCTTCATTGCCTGAACTGAAAATCATATTGTTCCCAAGTAGCTGTCTGGGCACAGCACAGTCTGATGATAACACCATTCGAGGAATTCCTTCTGTACAATTATCCACATGACGATTTTTCATATAATCTGAATGCTGTATATTATTCTTCATTAATTTTCCATCACATACCATATCTGAGTTGGTGTTCAGAAATGTTAATACATTTCTACAGCCTAACTGATGCACAAAGTCTAACTTAGGAGAAAGTCTGCATGTAACAGCTCCTAAATCAGGTCTGACACATTCCTCTACTACACTCACACTGCGTACCACACAGTCTGAATTACTTGGACTACTGAATAGCTGTACAGTACTGCCTTCAGCATTACTGTTGAAAATCCTCTTATCACTGGGACTGAATCTTACAGTCTTCCTATAGGCTTGTATATTATGTGACTTCTTAGAGCAATTAAAAGCCCTGGCGTTTGCACAGTGTTCATTCTGAAAATCTGTTGCCTGACAAACAGGAATACTGTTCTGTGTAGTGAATTTCATTTTCTTCACTCTTTCTCTTTCAAGGGTACACAGAAAATCAGAACTTGTGAAGTAGTTTTTTGAAGAACTGTTATTTTCACTGTAAATGTTAGTGTCATACTTCTGAACATTAATTTTAGGATAGATTATTTCTAACTGGTTATGGACCTGATCATTATTATTCTGGATCAAAGATATGTCTCTTCCAGCAACATGTTTATCTGTTGTTTTCTGTGCATGATCACGGTGCGGTGTACTGCTCCAGAGTTTCTCGACTTTTTCAGCCTCCAAAGTACTTGCAAGATCAAAAGTTTGGGCACATTCTTCTACTTCCATGATCTTTCTATGAGGGATATTAAACTCATTACATACAGGCCCTCTGAAACTGGAGGAAGAGCCTATATTACTTGCATCTTTTGCCTTCAAGGACTGGTATGAGAAACCAGTACTCCAATTAAAAATATTTTTTTCAAATTTAAAGATGGCTGCTTCTGTGTTTTCAGTATTTTCACACTGTGTGATAGGCTTTGCAACATTTATGCTGCTCATTGTTTTGGAAGCATCCTGCACTGAAGGATGTTGCACTGAACGATCTATTAATAGCTTATAATTATTATGTCCTTTACTGTGTACTTTATTAAACACTTTTCTCATTTCTGCATGCTTCTTTGATATTCCTTCTAGCAAACACTTCAAATTTGCTGATACTCTGGAAGACAAAATACCATTAGCACCTTTATACCTACATACATTTTTCTGAGCTGTTTCACTGCCACCAACTGTAACATCCTTCAAGTTCAGACTAATACTGGGTTTATCACATTTATTTCTACCATTTAAACATTCTTTCATCAACTGTGAAGTACCGAGATACTGCAGCAAAGAATTAAATTCAAACTTTTTCAAAGGCATGGGAATTTGAATATCTGATATACAATGAAAAGTTTCTCTGAATTTTGTTATTGGTGGAAGGTCAATACATTCTGAGCGACATTTCGGCTGTGTTCTCAGATTAATAAAATTTCTAAATCTTTGAGTAGGATAAAAATCTGAATCTGTTTCAGTTAGTCTACATGGCACTGATGACTTTTCACAGTTAGATTCAACTGAGGGAATGTCTGAAAGATCACTGACTGAATGATTTAAATTTCTTCTTCCTGTATGTCTTGCACTGCTCTTCATGGCACAAGTCAATGGTGTTTTGCTCTGCTGAGTAGCACCATGTTTTTCTGAACAAGAAAATGGATTTTCTGATCCGCATTTATCCAATGCAGGAGTCTGAGTACAGACAGGCAGTGCACTATCACTGTTTCTGTTAACACCCGACTTCACTACAACTGTAATTTCAGATGCTATATCAGTTTCTTCAAAGGTCAAAGCTGTTCTCTGAAGACACAAATTATCTTCATAACAAACATCCTCATTCTTATCTTTCCTCTTTGCAGGCATTCCAAACACTGCTCGAGAGACATTTAGCATCTTCCTGGTCACAGTTTCAGAAAGATTATGTGTGTCTGAGTTTCCTTCCAGACTTATCTCAGTTGGTTCAGCACGCTGAGTCTTCAATTGTCCAAGAGCATATTCTTCCTCCAACTGTTCCATTTCCTTAACAAGGGATGATATGTTATTGCCGTTGTTCTTTTCTCTACTACTCTCTTGACTGAAATTAACAGCATATTCCTTCTCTAAGAATGATCTTATGGCCGTCTCCATACACTGGAGAACTTCATCCCAGTCACAGAATTCAATAAGAGTCTTCTTTGGCTCAAGACAAATATCATATAGATGGTATGGGCATTCAACATTCAATAAATACACTGCATACTTGTCTCGTTTCTCAGGAGGACTGAATGCAAGCCATCGCCCAGTGGATCTTTCTTTAGAAATGGGACAGTCATGCGATGTGGCATTTGTTTTCAAAATAAAACTATTACCCAGCACAGAGTTTGCAAGCCTGTGAAGCTTGGATTTGAGAATCAGCCTCTTATTCACGTATATGAACTGTAAGTTCTTTTGGTGGTGGGCCTCTTTGCTAATGAAGCCACTTATTTTAAATTGACCTAATGTTGAACTCACAGCAACAAGGGACTGAGCAACAGTCTGACCAAAAAGATATGAAAAAGCTCCAATAATGTCCATGCATTTTCGAGTGTGCAAAATTATGTTTCCATCTGTATCATTCCGTAGACTGAATGAAATCTAGAAAACAAAAGAACATAATGTGAATCAAACCTTACCATATAAGCAAGCTGTATAATTGTAGGAAAAGCAGAAGTGGTAAAAGTAAATACAATAGTAGCAATAAAATTGTCAGTTAGCGTCTGTGTTTGCCAAGTTCATATTGAAATTTCATAATTCAAGGTACTCAATAGTAACAATGTATGAATGACATATGGAAGAAAAATACTGCATTTCCAGGCAGAACTTAAACTTTTGCTTGTGCACAAAGTTATTATAATATACATTTAACATAAAAAATACTTTGTGAATAACATTCTGATCAATATCATAATATTTTTCCTCTGTTTAAGAACAGAGGTTAATAAATGCCTCTTTTCCATGATATTTCATTGAACAAACTGGCACACACAGTAGCACCTCACAATTATAACGTGGAACTGAGGAAAACCACAGGAATCCTCACAATTGTAACATGACGATTCCTGTCATTTTCCTCAGTTCCACCAGGCAAATGAAGCAACAATATCCTCAAATAGGCCACAAACATTTTAACTCAAATCCATTCAACTACATCACATGTGACCATCCTCACATATCATTAAATAACATCTGCAATTGATGAAGCATCATTACACAAGCTATGATTCATCCACATATGATTACACAAAATCAGTTCTGTTTTTAAGGAAAGAGTTTTAATGGAGTAAATCCATTCCCACCTTACAAACACATGAGCTGTCATAAAAAAAATTTTTTTTTTTAGTCTGAGGAGAACATTTATGTGTATGGCATTAAGAGAACAATATTTATGCAGCAGCTCAGCTGATATGTGAATTGTAGCATTAGTCCTGGACACAAGAGGCACACTGTTTATTTCAACCCATCAACCTACATTCACATTGCAACAACATATACTCACCATACCACATTCTGAACCTGTTATATGAATTATAAATGAAACTTAGTAAAAATGCTTAATCTTCTTAGTTTTCAGTTTTAATAACCCAAAAGCCTTCCCTTGTTTAAAACAATGGGGTCAGTTTCAAGCAACAAAGGTAGTAAAACCTGCAGCATATACATATCTTGTTACACAACACATGTGCAGTCTTCTGTGAAATATAATCAAAACCATTAAATGCTTAAATGCAAAAAGAACGGAAACATTCCAGAAACTCTTCATTCATGTTGGATTTGAAATCATCATGGCAGTGACTTTGAAGAGTGTGGTTTTATTAGTTGCAATATCCTATACTTTAGAGAAAGCACGATGTTTCAGAAGAACATATCACCTCCATCTTCATGATTAGAGAGTAAATCAAACAAGAAACTGGAATAAGTAGGCAGCAAGTTGAGCTGAGCTTGCCACCAGCTTCTGTCGGTTCCTTGTTTGGCTTACTCTTAGATCCAGAGGATGTTCCTCGAAAATGTCAGGCTCCCTCCAAACTGCGCAGTGTTACAATTTAGGAGAGTGCATTCCCCTTCTGTATTAAATTGTAGGATATTACATCAATCTAGTACATGAAATTAATATGAGGTATGTCACAAAAAATTAAATAATTTAGAAGGATTATAACAAACATATACTTTACAAATTCTTACATAGTCTACAAATATTTACCTGTGGGTGCATGAGAGCAATACATTCAATATGTGACTTTATTTCTTCTAGATCTATAGCACTTCGAATTCTTTGCTTTCTGACTGGCATGTTATACATGAAGTCATGGACTGTAATGGTAGTTCCTTGCCCAGGACGTATGGTTTTTGAAATTCCTGCCTTATGTGATTTACCATGCGTAAACACCTTACAGTATGTAATGTCACATCCTTTAGGTCTTGACTCAAATGTCAGCAGTCCCGAAACTTCCCGCAGACTTGCTAATGCCTCCCCACGAAAACCAAACTGATCTAGGTGATTATGAAGATCCTCTAGGGAGTGACATTTACTAGTCATATACCTAAATTAACAAACAAACAAGGATTTAGCTAAAAAATTATAGTTATGCTTATGATCAATCTCTATTCAAAGTTTCACATTTTAGGTTCTGCCATTAAACGATAAATTAAATATAGATTTCATACAGGCACCATGGCATTACTTAATACTCTTCCCCCTACCCCAAAAAAGATCTTAACAAATTTTGCTTAATTTTTTACGAGATCTATTCCCACAAAGTTTCAGGACACTATGCCAAGTGCCACTTTGTTATTATCACTTTAAAACTTTGCACATGTGTCACTGTGGCAAATGTGCGCCCATGCCCACACACACACACACACATCTGCAGGCATACATTGATGTGAATGATATCACAACTTACTTTTGCTTAAAAAATGAAGAAAGAATGCAGAAACATGGTAAGGTCTCATTAAAGAAAAATTTCTATCATAACAAGCTCCTGATGGTGTAGAACTGGAAGATCATGGCACAGATAGGAAGATACAGACTCAATAGGAATCTTCAAAATCAGGCACTGATAATGTAAATCACACTGGGCCAACAAACAGTACGATAAAGTAGTGACCTTTTATTGCTGGAGTAAATGAACAGTCAGATCCACAGTAATACACAGATGGCTGTGCCATGGCTCAGGTAGTTCACAACCGGCTTCCCACTGTGGCAGGATGAATATGATATCAGGTCAAGTCATGTGGGATTTGTGGTATACAAAGTGGCAATGTGGTAGGTTTTCTCTGAGTACTTCAGTTTCCCCTCCCAGTTCTCATTCCACCAAATGCTCCACATTAATTAAAATCCAAAATAAAAACCAAACATAAATATAACACTACCTCCCACCAAACATGTCTCCATGCTTAACTGTAAGCCATGTTAAAATAAGAAACAGCACTTGAAGTATGTATGTGTAATTCCATACACACTCAAGACCTAAACTAAGCTTCTGACAGTATTACACATAAGATAGCCTTGGGTAATTATTACCGGACACAAACTTCACACATCGCTACAGTCAACCATGCTTGCAAGATTTCACTGTGCTCCTGCCAAAGGTTTGGCTGTAGCATTAAACTTTCCTGATCCTTTACAAATTCTTTGCACAAAATGCATCAAACGAACAAATAAAGGGAAGGCCAAGTCTTATTTATCTGCCTGAATTTTTCACATCCATACTGATTCCCAACCAAATATTATTAACGGCCATGCCATAGCTCAAGTGGTTAGTTGCTGGCTTCCCACCGCAGCAGCCCGGGTTCAATCCCGAGTCTGGTCAAGTGGGATTTGTGGTGGATGAAGTGGCACTAGAGCAGGTTTTCTCAGAGTACTTCGGTTTCCCCTGCCAATCTTCATTCCACCAATTGCTCCACAATCACCCTCACCAGAAGTGAGGCCAGAAGTGGCTGCAGTACAAGGGACTTAGTCCCACTCCACTAGCAACAAAAAACTATATATATGATTAAAATGATCAAATACAGAAGAATGAGATGGGAAGGGCCTGTAGCAATCATGGGAGGGAACAAAAACACACAGTTGTTTCAGCAGGAAAACTTCAAGGAAGAAGATCACTTTGAAGACACAGACATCAATGGAAGGGAAATATGAAAATAGATCTCATAGAAACAAGAAGGGAGGGTGTGAAATGGGTTCATCTAGCTCAGGATAGGGACCAGTTGCAGATCTGCCAAATTATTTTTAAGCCAACTAAACAGACCAGAGAACTTCCCGTAGACCATCCCTGTGTAATAATGTCATGACAAGATGCCTCGATCAGAATAACTGGTCTCCAGAATAATATCTGGGTCTTCCTAAATACAACGGAATGCTACTCACTTAGCTACGATATGCAGTCAGTCTGTTCTTGTTTCAGTACTGTCCATGACAGTCTTCTTGCTCCACACTCACTGATGTGAAGAAATCCAAAAACTGTTCTATGTGCTGAAAGTTCTAATGCAATATCTTACATATAGTCAATCTTTATTCTGTTTGGTCTTTACGTCAATCACGCTTACCTAGTTCCAATGAGGTCAAGTTGAGCAGAGTTCAAGCCACATCCATTATCTATAACTTGTATTTTGTGGAATTTAAAATGTACTCGGATAGCAACTGATGTGGCACCTGCATCAATTGCATTTAATACCTGAAAATGGAGACAACACAAATATGATGGAAGTATCATACATTAATATAGGCAACTGCAAGGATGTTATTATGAACAATTAAAAAAATAACTCATACCTAAAACAATAGCTAATGAACAACCATGGAGATATTTTTGAACACTGGAACTCTTTTATCAGAAGTTGTCTAAATACTGAAGAACTTAACACAGCAGTAACAAATCTCAAGCTTCATATTTCAGAAGTATCCTGTTCAAGACTGATCACGGCTGCACTGAATATGTTGCCTTTCTGTACCAAATGCAGATGTATAAACTGCGTCTTCAAATTTATTTTCCATACGTTCAGTTTCCTAATACACTTACTTTCTTGTTAGTTTCAAATATAAATTTGAAAATTGTATTTGTTATCTTTATATTTTCCATACATTTTTCAAATCAGTCATTCTTCATCTAAGTGGTCAGTTTCTATTATGTTTCAAAATCTACATTTTTTTCCTCCCCTTTGAACATGTTAGCTAACAACAGATTTTTATAAACTGACAAATGTGAGGTTCTCATGGTGGTGAATGAATAGTAAAGACTTCTGTGTTATAATACCACATAGTTTGAAGACAGACTAACACACCTTCCATGTGCCAGTTTATTGAAAAACAAAAGTTGTCCTTGTTCACTGCCATGCAACTTTACGTTTCATGGTACTTATTTTTCGTTTCTGCAGTGAAAAGTTTTACAAAATGTTTCCATCTTCCAGTCTCACCAAAAATATGACAGTCATAAAAACGTAATCTCTTATAACTGCCACAGTAGGAAAAATAGGAGCAATTTTTATGGCTGTGACACAGTGTTACGTTAAAATCCCTCATCAGACTTACCAGTTCTTCCACACACTGTGCCATACTTGTAATAACACCACCACTTCTTAATGCAGACTGCACCTCTGCTGGTAGTTTGCATATGGCCATACTACACAAAAGAAAAAGAAAAAACCCTGGTATTAGTACTACTTACTATAAATACTGCATTACATGTTAAATAGACATAAATATAGGTGCCTGAAACGCAAACAAAAAGAATACAAAGTCCTTAAAGTTTTCTATTACCAGTATCACAATCATACCAGTTAATGGAAAACAGGTTCGTTGTGTACTATTAATCCACAAATTATTTTATAGAGGGATTCTCATTACTTCCTTTTCTCACCCCTTTCAGTGGTTCAGGATGCCATCAAACTGCTTAGGGATCATTACTCTAGAAAATCATTGACACATTATTCTGTCATCACAATTAATTCTGAAATAAATTATTTATGTCACTGTGAACGAAGACATAAAAGCATACGATTTTCAATAAACCGAATTGCAACAGACGTCGCTTTATTGCCGACACATAACCTCAATTACAGCTGCATCATCAATTTTACATTTCCATTAAAAAAATAATTACCTTCTTTTGCTTTCCATTGCAATATTGTAGAAAAAGGTTTATAGAAACAAGTATTGTAACACGTATACTAAGTTAAAATCTAAATCTAAATGATGAAAAAAATCCAAGCATGAAACTTTTCGAGCTACGCGCCATATTCAACATAATCTGTGTCCCCGCCTACACCACTACTCTCGCTGCCAGGGGGATGCAACTCAATGCTATTGGCGGGCAACGTAACCGCCGTGACGTCATGAAACATCACTGCTGCCGCGGTGGCCAGTTGAGACTCTCTTGATACACAATGGATGTCGCCAGTGCCGAGGGCTCGGTCGGCGAGAAGGTATGCTATCATACCTCTTGCCCTGTCGATAAGAAAGCATACTATTATACCATGCTATGTACGTCACAGGTGGCTCAAAACACACAAATACAGTGATTCATGAGACATTTTAATTATGTTCATGTTCATTTATTTCAAATCCAAGCAGATCCGGGTACAGGTTGAGAAGTATATTCACAAACCACTGGATATAGAATGAGTCACATATTAATGTATTTCCATTTGTAATATACCAGCATTGGTCCATAGGACAATAGTTTCATTCCGTTTGTGCTTACAATTTAAAATGAAGGGGTTGTCGCCACACAAAGAGATGTTATTTGTCAGTTCTCATGTTTCCTCCTAGATAGGCCATCATTGGGTTATTCTTGAGAAAATGCACAAATGCCGACGAACTACACACATGCATTGGACAAAATAAGGAAACACTACAGATACTGACCACCTTTCACATTCAATACAGCCACAATCCTTCTTGTAATGGACTTGCACAAGCTTTGAACAGTCTCCAGCGGAATTTTACACCAAACTTCTTAAATTCCACCACTGCACCACAAACATTGAGGGGGTTGCTTGCAGTTGGCCCAGACATGGTTTTGCTCTTGCTGTAGCACTATGTAAGGTTGGTCTGAGCTCTGTTCAACTCTACCTTGATGACAATATTTGGGCTCTTCAGCTTCAATATCCCATGAGATTTTATCTTTCTTGATAAGGGAACAAGGAATAGAGGGAGGGGCTCCTCGTGGGGTTTCCAGTTGGGTGCTGTTTGAGTGGGCATCATTTGCATCACGATCATCATGATGACATTAAAGTCTAAGGCCTCAAGGCTGGTGGATAAATCTTCCGCTGGCATATCTGGGGCTGAGGTGACGGATTACTGCTTTTATAGGCTTTTCGGAATTTGGGGAGAAGTTGTGGAGATTATTTTAATTAGATTAATTTAATTATTATTAGTAATCACTGATTACTATACATGCATTCTGCTAATATTTGCATACTCATAACATTTGCACATACAGGATCACACCATTTTCTTGGCAATGTATTTTCATTTTAGTGTTGAATATTAGTCAAGAGTGACATCAACGCTTTCTGTTGGAAGTAAATTTATAAAGCATAACCCCATAATTAAAACACACTGCTTTCTACAGTACAGAGACTGCAATATTCCATAACCATTGTCACATATAAATTCACTTTATTAACATAACAAATTCAAAGGAAACTTTGTACATATGTTCCCTTTGCAAAAAATAACACATTTCTTCTAAGATAACCATTACACATCTTACAAAATTGAACAGGAACAACAATTTCTCTAATCAAACTGAACTGGAACAATCACTTATTCATCCTGAATGAAGCAACTTATGCCATTAACTTTAAATATTGGCACAAAACAAAACATCTTTTGTAAAACAGCAAGGAATGTTAAAGCATAAATGAGGAAATCAAAAACGAATTCTTGACATCAATACAACATTGCTCTTGGGACCTACATTTTGTCTTATTCACCGAACTTAAGAGATCCCTCAATAGTATTCTTTCCCAATTTTTATCTGTAAAGAATCAAACTGTATCATACTGAGTAAGATTCAATATTGAGTCAACTTGGAAACAGAATGATCATTATAAGCTCCAAATTCTTCTTGCACAGTAAAGAGCTGCAGTTCTGCAATCTCTTTGTGACTAATTAACAAACACCTGTCAAATAAAATGTTCTTACAGTCGCTGCTCTAAAAAATGCATTTACAACAAAACAAGATGCTTATATTCTCCATGGAACTTAAAAACAAATTATAATTTTGGTTTAAATTATTCTAGCAATGACTGCATAGACTCTACTGAAATTTGACTGTTCTATGTCCAAACACAAATATATGTTCAAGCAGCTGTATTTCTATCAAAGTTCATACCTGTTACATCTTTCAAAAATCGAGAGAAAATGTACATAGATTAAACTTGTATCTGCTTGGTTTTTAATTGGGAATTCAAATATTTTGTAAAGAAAATTTAATTTTCTTGCAATATCCATGAAAAATCAATATATTTAGGAAGTGCAAGCAAGGAACAATAACTTGTACTGCAGAATAAAATGAGAACATGAACAGAAAAAGAAACTTCTTTTGGGTTAATGACTGCTAATATGACATTGAATTACTGAACTGAAAGTATGCTAACAAACGAGATAATTATGTAGCACAACACACTTGGCAGTTATAAACAATAATCTATTCTAATAATATATCAGTATTATCTATGTTTTGGCAACAGTATCTGTAAACTGTTAACACACTTTTTTTTTATCTTAACAATAAAGACTTCAAATTACAGTGGCACAAAAATCAATTTAAATCAGAGAATTTCTTAAGGAATCTTTGAAATATTAGTTCCTTCCAAACTAGTACAAAAATATTAGCATAAAGATTGTAATAAAGAAGAAACTGAAATTTATATTTATTCAGTCATGTAACTTAAGTGTACATAAAATACTGCGATACTGGGTCTAGACAGTACCGATTTTCTCCAGATGTTCATAGCTTCAATTCAAAATAACCTGTCTACACACTCAATAAAATACCAGATCCTTTATCATCTTTGACATATGAAGATTTAATGCATTCTGCAAGTAGCGACACCAATTACCATTTCTTAGAGCTTTGAAAACCATGATGCATTCCAAATTTAATTTGTTTTGATGACAGCTTTGGTTTTCATTTTCATACCAATGTTGCCAAAGTAATGTTTCCCACAAACTGCACGAACAGTTTATTAACAAAATAATTTGATTTTTTGAATGCCAATTTTATGGAAACCACTTTTAATACAACAAGAATAGATGTTTTTGTTAAACAGGCAGGCAATTGATTTGCTTTGCTTCCTGCATATAAGAATGAAGTCTCAGACTGCAGAGCTGACAAAAGTACTTCTTATAATAAATAAATGGTATCTGGATACTTGAAGTCATTTAAAATATGTCCTTATGGTTTTAAGCAAAATTTGCACATCTAATGCTAATATCTCATGCAAACTACTGTACAAATAGTATTCAATGCATGAAGATTATTAAGCTGCACAGTTCCACAAGTTTGGTATGAAAATTATGATTAACCCTCTTCTGTACCATTTAAATCAATTGTTTTCTGATGCTACCAGACTGCATTATAAAAATATTTCAATTTTTAAATATTTAAGGTGAGGAATTGGACTGCTTCCACAAATCCTCAATATCTTTGCTTGTATAATCTGTAGTGCCACTGCAATCTCATACCTCTTCTTCGAGAGCTTATTCTTGTTTAACATAATCACACAAATTTGTGTATTTCCCTAACTGTACAATGCAACTTTCAGAAATGTATGGACAGGGAAATGGTATCACAAAAATATTTCGTAGTCACACTCACCCATCATACTGACCTCAGTTTTGTATCTGGGCAGCTGTCTCTTGTTGGTAGGCCACACAACCACCACCACAGTAGAATGCCAAGTCACATAATTCATACTTACATACCATTTAATCCTCATGGTGGTGTTTTCACTTGAATATACACAACACACTGCAACATCTTCACTTATTTATTCCAAACAATGCCACTTCTGGTTACTGGCATTCTTATAGATGAATTTCTTTTTCTGACTATCTTTGCCATGACGGAAATTTGCTTATATGACCACATACCTATCACTTTGCTCCTCACATACTGATATGTTAGAGGCATCTTATTATATAACACCATTCACTGAATCATTTTGATGGAAAATGTATTTGCACCAAAAATGGATAACCTGCATCATAAAATTCACACAAAATTCTCAGAATGATCATATTCTTGTAACATATTTTACATTAATTTTGATTAATCACTTCTATAGCAACAAAACATATATGAAAAAGTCACTTCTTTCCTTGCCCCATTGTCATTAAAATGGAAAAGAGAAAATATAAAGTACTGAACATATGATGCAAGCCATGACTCAAGAAATCACATACATCAATTCTTTGGTTTTGCACAATATGAGTTTGTTATTGTCAAATACTGTATAATGGAAAATATGCAATATATATCATTAAGGTACATACCAGTTCATATAGAGCACATACATATTGTGGCAACCAACTGCAGATAGAAAACATTTTTCCAGGTAGTGCTGGAAATTCTTCTGGAGAAACACACAATGCATGGTCTCTGATGAAAAGAAATACTGTTTTCTTTCCAAGAAAATGCACAGTGCATGGCCTGTGATAAAAGGGTTCATATTTTTGTTTGAAATCGAACTGCTAAGTTTATAACTGTTGAGGTGTAACTTTCATTTTTGGTCTACGTGAGATTTAAGATGTTCATGTTGGTTCAAAGTAAAATTTGTCTTCTGGGATATGATAACATTTAGTCTTGTACAAGGTGATCAGTATTTTGGAAAAATCTGCTGCTGCCACCACCTTCACTTCCTCCCTAAATATGGAGGCAGCAGATCTCTCCAAAACACTGGTATATATGATGTTATAATCCAAAGACTACGATGTTAAAGATTCGTCTTTTTGCAGGGCCAAATTCTAGACGTGTTTTGAAAAATACTTGATAAAATGTTTTAATAAGTTATATGTGACAAATGCAGTTTACTGCATTCAATATTGGTGGGTGGACTGTTAAGAAAATGGTGACTGAGATCATATTTAGTAACAAGAAATGGCTGTTTTTAACCATAATGCCTGGAAAATCATACAGCAATTAGTTCAAATAACCACAAGATTAAAATCCAACCAGAATATTTGCAGTCTATACCAGAGACCCTGAAAACGTTCAGTTCAAACAGTAAGTTACAAGCTGCAGATCCAAATGCATTAATTGGAAAACAATTTTATACAAGATACGTTAAAGTGCATATATTCCAGGAATAACAGAAGTACATTTATGGAAGAAGTATGGAGTTTAAGATACAAATTAACTTACATAAAATAAATAAACAGAAAATAAATACAATTTACTATAAATACTTATAAACAAACACAGTAACTTGCAAACATACTATGAAATCTTATGAAGATATAATATTTACCAACAGTTTTTAGCAGGTCCACTGTTTGTTAAAAAAATGCCTTAAACAGATTCATAAACTGAATGATTTAGAGATGAGAATTGAAACGTTAATGAAAACATATTATAAACTGTGACTGTGAATTACAATGAGGGGCATGAACGTTTCTTGAAACAGAGATTAAATTCATGAGACATAAAGCAGGGTACAGCTTATTTGCTCACAGAAGACATGACAATATTTTAGGATTCAACAATGACCCAGTCAAAAATACAACTGATTAGATCATGTCAGAAAGATGAAACACATACACAACTTCTTGAATATTTCTTATAAATTTTAAGGGATTAGATCAGTAAACTTATTTATGTTTGCGAATTTTAATTTTGTCCTCCTGTAGATAAGAATGCATATCTAATGATCAGAAGCATGTCGCTCAGTGGAACACTTAAGTAACTCCTATGCTGCTGCTAATCATCTGAAGACCTACCAGAAGACAAAGACCTGGACCATTTTAGAAGAGATTAATAAATGCACACAATCCAAAGTCCATAACAGACTTTCTTTGGTCTAACTTCAAGACCAAAAGAAAAATAAAAGTAATATAATTAAGTACAATGCCCTTTTTATGATGATGTACAGTACTCGCACCTTTTTTTATATGGAAGGAGAGAGCTTAAAGCTGTGAATTTTTCTTCTTAGTACCATCATATTTTCCAGAAAACAGACAGCGCAAAGTAAAAGTAACATATTTTATCTATAAAGTAAAGTCCATACATCCCTACAGAAATTAACTTCTGTTAATGTCATCCTTGTAGGCTATAAAAAATCCTTGTGGACTTCTGTAGTTCAAACACTATACATACATTAAACAAAAACAAACTGTAAATGACATATGAAATCACAATAAAGTTTCTTTTGTACTATTCATACCTGGGATTTATAAATGACTGGAAAAAGCAACAGCAGAAACAGTTAACCATGAGATGTTGCTTCATCAGAGAATTAAGTCTGGAAATTTTGACTTCTTACTCCTGATTTCTGATTTTGTTTCCCACCAGTACTTCAAACATATTATAATGTTCTCTATTGTTGACTAGGAAACTTCTACTTAAACAGGATCTGTGGTATCCTCAAATGTGGCATGACATAAAATGAGTTGATTTTAACAACTTCCCTGCCATTTAGAAATGACATCCATATGAAGTTCAGCTTTCCTGAGCGAATTTCCTTCTCGCACTATTAAGGACTGCATTCTACTATATAATCACAAAGTTAACTTTTACTTCTGCTGCTGACATTTCCATTTCATTACACATTTATTGCACAGATGTCAAAAGTAATATAAATTTGAGGGAGTCAATTCAGGGGGGAAACACTATATTTATATGTTGGTGGACAAACACTTCCTAGCCCATACTTTAGACCTCCCTGGTTTACAAAGAAAACTTTTTGATTATACCTAAGCATAACACAGCAGATATGAAAACACATGAGACACTAACACAGTGATGGAGAAACCAAGGCCCACAACAGTTCATATGTGATCTACAGAAAAATCCAAATTTGTTGGAATTGTCTCTTATTGTTTCATTGTAACACTGTGATACCATCTGGCACTGGAACATAATCAACCTTCCAGCAGCATTTGAAATGCTCAGTACACAAAACCTGCACATCACAGATCACTGTTCAGCATACTTAAAGCTGAAGAAATCCAAACGTATCCTCAACAAAGGGCTCAACAAATTCTGGGTGACAGATTTCTATGGGATATAATATTTTAACTGTAGTATCAAATATTTTCTGGAGTACTGTTATTAAGCGTTTTTACCTACATGTAAGAAAGGAATTAAATACTCAAGGCTTGTAGTTCCAATTCTGTCACAGCTGTATTATTTTATAGACACTTCTAATATATAGATATTGTAACAGACCTTGGATCTGCATCCCTGCATTAGCAGAATGTGCAAGAACTTACCTGTGTGAAGGACCCAATCTTTAACAACCCTGGTGTCTAACACTGCCATTGTGGTGGGTGATGATACTGCATCACTGGCCCTTGTATCATGAATGGGGGCCACGAATGCTGAGTTGATGGAGACTGTGGGTGATGAATCAATGACTGCTGAGGCTGATGCATAAATGACTGCTGTTGATGCATTAATGGCTGCTGAGGGTATTGCATCAGTGACTGTGGTTGCTGTTGCACAGTGTAATTTCTTTGGTGTGTGTCTGTACTCTGTAGATGGTTCTTATATTCATCATACCTAGAACTGTTAAATACATAAGAGTATTCTATAAACCCCATAAAATCTGGCATATAAGGAATTTGTTCATGTATATTATGTAATGCCTGCAGAGAAAACTAGTCAAAAGAATTTTAAAATGTTTTCATAATACTCTTTCTAATATAATTAACCAAATGGAACAGAGTCATTCTTGGGAAATTAAAAAGTTACTCAGCTGGTCAAGAAATTCCCTTCCTTTTGTAGAATCCAAATGTTCTTTACCATATTCATTAGAGCATACCATCAGTTCCTATCCTGGGTCAGATAAGTTCAGTCCACACCCTCAAATATCATTCCTTGAAGATCCAATTTAATATTATCTCCCCATCTTTGCTTAGGTTTCCCACATGTACAAATTGCTCTGGCCTGTCCCATCCCCCCCTTCCATGATTTCAATCCCCTTCATAGTATTTGGTGAAGAGTTAAAATAATGAAGTGCCTCCTTAAGTAATTGTCTATAGACTCCTGTTACTACTTCTCAGGAACAAACATTTTCCTCAGACACCGTCATTCTGTGTTCCTCCCTTCATTTGAGACCGAATTTCATGCCCATACTAAATAAGAACTAGCTCTGAATATTTTAAATCTGTATACTTTTAAACAGCAGACCAGAATACAGTAGCAATCATTCCCTGAATTTAACCTACTTTTTAATTTCATTGTGAATGGAATTTTGATGCATGAATGTACATAAGCACACACCCCCTTCCCCCCAGTATAAAAATACAGAAACAAATGCACACACACAAAACGACAATGTCATTAGCCTGCTTCTTGTCCCTTAAGGAAAGTACGCTGGGAAGGGGAAAAATGAAAGGCAAAAAAATGCAATTAACTGAGTGAAACTGAACTTGTTAATTGAAGTAATAAACCCGTTCATATTTTATATTGTTCTTACTAATATTATATAGTACCTGTTACTTATTACACGTGGCATTTCCACTTGTGGCCTCAATGTCATAACACATGGGTATGGGGTATGGTTTGGTCCCTTGCACTGCCTGTAAAATTAAAACATAAACATAAGCACGTTCTAATTTGTAAGTAAATTCAAATTCTCAATTATTATCAGCCAAATACTAAAATATAATTGTAACGAAATCTGAACACATTTTCTCTCAGTACACTGTCTCCCTGCATTCAATACATTCTTACAGAATATACAATTAAGTAGGAGAGTAACTAAGATCATAAACCTGAAACATTTAACCCATTTGTAGTGTACATACTTTGACAAACAGAAAACTATTTTACCTTCACCTATATCCAGTTTCTTTAGTATTCATGCTCATTTCTTTCTGGCTTTTCTTGCATTTGGTTTACAGGTTTCATGCGGCAATCTTGCTATTTGAAAGCAAAAAAAAAGAAAAAGGATTTATGAATTATGCCCCTGAGACGTCCTCAGGGGCCATAAAATGCTTACCAAGTTTCATGATAATTGGTTCAGGCATTCAAGTAATATAATTACCTCAGAATTTGAGAGTCTACAGTGTTGGTATTACTGACAGGAGTGATTTATGAAACATGTCACTGAGATGGCCTCAGGTTACATGACATACATACAAGGGCTACTTGAAAAGTAACCTCCATTTATTTTAGGCAACTAATGTATGATCGAGGGAGAACTTGTGAATGCAATGTGGTGTCTCATGACTCGTTGCCTTATAAACCATCAGAAGACTGGCCACCTAGTGTTTGTTCTTGTCTCTACAAGTGAGTTATGATGTGTCCTGCGATCGATAACCACGCCAGCTGCAAAATTTGCACTGTTATCTGCTTTCTACATGCTAAAAACATGAGTGCTGCACAAATTTATCTTGAAGTATGCACAGTTTAGGGCCAAAATGTAATAAGTGAAGGAACTGAAGACAATGATGTAGAATGTTAAAAGATGGACGAAAAAATATTCACCATAAAGAGCGAAGTGGTTGGCCATCTGGAATGGGTGGTGATCTTGTTCAAACTGAAAGATGGCACTTCACAATTTCAGAGCTTTCATGTGAATTCCCAAAAATTGCACACACTCTTCTCTATGAGACTATCACAGTTATGCTACGCTATCACAAGTTTCACATAAAATGGTTTCCAAAAATATTCACGGGTACACATGAAGCACAGAGAATGACTTTGGCTTTGACCCTTTAGAGCAATATCACAAAGATAGCGATGCATTTCTCAATCACATCATATGAGTAACAAATGATGAAACCTGAGTTTCATTTATGAATGCTGATACCAAAGAGTAGAAAAAGCAGTGGACAGTCACCAAACAAGCCGAAAAAGTTTACACAATCGTCTGCCTGACAGAAAACTGATGACAACTGTTCTCTGGGACAGGAGAGGAGTGCCCGACTCTGGAATTCATGCAAAAAGGGACCACAATATCATCAGAAGTGTATTGCGAAACACAAAAAGAACTGCACAGGGCCCTTCAGAACAAAAGGCGTGGATTGCTCCTCCATGATAATGTGTGTCAGCATAAAACTGCTCATACTCGAGCACTGCTGGAATACTTCAACTGGGAGTTGTTTGATTACCCTCCTTACAGCCCTGACCTCACTCTGAGCAACTATCACCTGTTTACCTACCTGAAAAGCTGGTCGCAATCACAGCGCTTCAACAAGAAAGAGAAGTTGATGGAAAGTGTCAATATGTGGCTGATCTCACAGGTGGCAGACTTCTTTGACAAAGACACACAAAAACTTATTCCCCGATACAAGTGCCTTAGTTATAGAGGTGACTACATTGAGAAGTAGCTTAAGTACTACATAACTTTTGTATCTAATAATTTTTTTCAATGCTTGTTTTGCTAATTGCTCACCTAGGTTACTTTGTGAATAGCCCCCGTACTATTTTTTTTAAGAATCAGTTCAAATGTCAAAAGTTGTTAGGGGAGATACACGTGCACCCATGCTCCTGCACATGCACATGCACATACACACACGCACACAGCAAGGTGATCTCATAAGCATACTTTTATTTTTTTCAAAATAAGAAAGTAGGTTAAAAATAAAGAAGAAATCATGCCAAACTAAACTTTAGTAGATGATCTCATGAGAGGAGGCAATTTTCAGGATTAAGTTTCAACTTAAGCTTATTAAGTATATTGAATTATACTGGCTCAGGAAAAAACCTTTGTTAGGGTCCAAGGAGTTATGGCATCTGTGCCAGAGTGTTACATCCTTGTGTGTTTATGTATGTCTCAAGACTGGCTACTTTTAGAAAATCTACTAAGCCTCTGTCGAAGCAGCCTCCGTAGTCTAGGGGTAACGTTCCCACCTCATGACTAAAGGTTGTGGAATTTTTAAGGGCGGAAAAATTCAGGGAACAAGTCCTCCGGGAGGGACTTTAAGCCGTGTGTCCCGTGTCGTAGATTTACGGCATGTAAAAGATCCTCATGTCTCTAGGAGACCTCTGAGCAAAATTAGGCAAGTTTCCTGCCAAAGTAGTAGTTTCCAATTCCTCCGGTAGATGGGGAAGCATCAGGGATCACTGCCAGTGAGGGCCGACCTCGCTGGCAGAACGGGGCTAATAGCGAGCACGAGTACTGGAAGGGCATGGAGACTAGTTAGAATAATTAAAGGAGGACGCACAATAGATCAACAAATGGTCGCAGTGCATGGGGAAACCCACCCCCTCCAATAATAACAATAATAAGCCTCTGTCGGACTATTGACAGGGCAACTTTCCCTCAAAGAGTCACATAGGGTAATCATGTGACTGATTTACCTTCACCTCACGTAAATGGTACAAATACTTCAAAATTTTAAGATACTGCTGTGCAAAGTGAAAAATATAACTGACCTGCATGTCTCCCTCATACAATCAAGATTCAAACAGCAGAATACTTCGTCCTTTTCAGATGGTATGTCAGCAAAGCCACAGTATGGACAAGTTTCCAGTAACTTTACACCAGCCATTTCCATCTCCTTCAAATGTCGTATATGCAGGAGAGAGGAGAATGTAACAGGTTTTATTGCCTTCTGTACAGAAATAAAATTACAACAGTAAAGAAATATATTAATCATAATTGTTATACATATTACCAATCACATTAAAAAGACTGAACTTGCAGACATTTCTGGTTCAATTAATGCCTATATTATCACATTTTCCTCAAATCACTGTTAACACAAAATATTGCCTGTAAAATAACTGTAAGAAGGGAATAATTTAAGTGGCCCCCTGATATATGCTACATTAATCTGGCTCTGCACTCACACAGTGATGTGAAGGTCCAAATCTATCTACGCGGGCTACAAAATATAATACTGCACACATGTACAGTCAGTAAAATAGGAGTTCAAGATTTCTACTGATGCTAATGGAAAACAAAAACAAACAACAACAACAACAACAACAACAACAACAACAACAATAATAATAAATTATGTTTTTTTTTCCTAAATTAAATGGCAGTTTGTAACAAGTCAAACATTTGCACGAGTAACTGCATCACATTAAAAAAAATTCTATGCCAAACTACAGAGAAAAAACTGTCACATTTGGGGAGGGTGACTGTTTTGGGGTTGATATTATATCTGCACAATCAATAAATATTCAACTTACGATGAAATTAACAAGTGACCTTCAGGAAACATACAATTATGAGGTTGTATAAGATTTGAAGCTTTCACGGCGGTGACTATGAAGAAAGCAGTTTTCTTCAATTATGAGGTTACTCACATTTTCCTACATATCACTCTCAAAATTATATTAACATGCATGTGACTACAATTTTACTCATTCTCTTGCATGGCTGCAAAATGTGGCATTTTTCTGAGTACAGAACTGAGGTAACACCTAAAAATTAAGTTACATGAAAATAAAAGAATCATGTGAAAAGTTTCTCAGTTTTCTCATTGTGACTGAATTATCCAGAATCTGATATTACTCATGTTAATTTTTAAACCTGTTACCTCCAAGAGAATAAATAATCTGTATATTCATATATATATGCCATACCTTCAGTACTTCCATGCTAAACAGCCACTGGCATTCCTTATAAAGACATGAGAATGGATTTTCACATCTGCTGAGTCTGGTATCCACTGCACTGAATACAAAACATCCACATAAATTATTACCAACACTTTCACTGAATAATTAAGCAAGGCCAAGAAGACTGTTACTCACTTCTGGATGCAGATTTTACAGAACAAGTGGAACACACTACATGTCCCCATATCCTCAGTCAACAGATCGCTGACCCCACAGTGTCCACAGTGCCGCAGTTCTCCCCTTAGTTTTGCCTTGAAACAGAAATATATTTACTTTCCAGCAGAATTATGTACAAATTTCACTACAGATATTAGATTACAACAGCTATTATACTGTGGAACATGAATGGTTTTCTGAAACTAAGTTATGTGGAGGGCTTCAAGTCATTTATTTATCGTGAACCAAAAATACTGGCATTAAGGTTTAAGTTTATATGTGCATTATCACGAAATGACCAAATAAAATTAAATAAACATCATACAAATAAAAATTTCTGGTATGTGACTGTATAGTAGTAATTATGATTTTTCACTCTGTTTTTCTGATCTCCAGAGTGTCATGTTATATGGGGATCTTGCAGTCCCCATTGTTTATATCAAGTACTGGATTGATAAACTATACATGGGAAATTAATGTTACACCAAATAATATTTAAGAATTTAAATGCAAACTCAAATACATTTTGGAGGGGGGAAGACAGGAAGGTAAAAATCATCATGACCTACATTTGTACATAGTACAAGTGATAAATATAATAAATAAAATAGAGTGATCAGAACTTAATTCATTTACTACATTGCCTGAAACTTCACTAAATGAAGGCCCCTCTCCAATGCAGTCCAATTAAGTGGCAGATGATTCAGTACCCCACAAGACTGAATGCAGCATTCCTCTAACACCTCGTCATCCCTTCCTTATTTTGTCACATGCATCTTTGTAGCTTCCGCCTATCTTAGTCAAGACAGACTTTAAATACTTAAAAATTGGAACATTCTTTACTTTTTATCGATTTTATATGCTTCTATTTGTGAAACACTAATAACAATACATTCTGTTTTTCCAACTTTACTTCTAATTCCACTCAGCATACTCTTCAAAAACATTCTGTATAATACAGGCAGCAATATTTTTATCTTTAGCTATAACCATATGATCATCAGGAAAGCATAAAGCATTCTCATCTATAACTGATGCAAGGAAACCCTAACAGGAAAAAATCTCAGTGAATAAGGAGATTCTAAACCTCAAAATTTGGCAAACGAGTTCACACTTCTGAAATTACTTTTCCTAATTCAGTACCATATGGGCACCCTGAACCACTTATACATGGGTCCTGGTGCACGATTTTTCATGCACACATTTGTCATGGCCACATTCAGTTCCAAAGAAGTTTATGATACAAATGTTCCAAAATGTGTGTGAGATCCCATAACACTGAGTGAAATCTTTTTGGCAGTGGTTTATTCAATGCAAAAAGTAAGTGAGTGGAACAACTTATTTATATTTATTTCTGACACTTCCTTATTATTAATGAAAATAGTCTATGGCCACACTTGAAGATAACTGCTCTGTATCTGTACATGTCATTCAAAATAATTTAAATTTGTAGTAAATCGGTGACCACTTACTATTTCAAAAGTTGTTGCTTTCTTCCTTCGTTTTGATTGAAGATGGAACTCTATCACTTTCTTATTTTCAATAAATGTAACCTATATGAAAAGACAATACATATATATATCTATGTAACACAAAATGACGCTTCAGTAAGATATGTACTAAACAGCAAATATGCATAACTAAAATCAGTTAGGTATAAACAGCTAAGGTTGTCAAGATTCCTTTGTTTCAGCCAATAATCAACATATAAGTTACTGCAACAGCCTCACATGCCACAAAAATTTAAATTCACATAAAATGCACTCCAGTTCCATCACTCTTGTTCAAGTCAAGTAACATAATTTCTTCAAAATTCTCTGCCATAACACAAAGGGAAATTCTGTGAAAGCTTAAACTCCAAATTAATGTTGGCAAAACAAAACTCCAAAAGCATAATCAGTGTTCTTTCTAGGATAAATGAAGACTGGAACATTCAGGGAATCTCTGCATTAGCAATTTATATTAGGTCACTGGTTTTTTGTACAGCAGAAACTGTACTTGGTAGATCATGGGCATTGTTTATTTAATATTCTGCAGTCAGTTCTTTCTTTGCACAATTGTTCACATGCACTACAAAATGAGAGAACACATGCACGCACAGGAATACTGAAATTACAATGGGAAGAAACACATAAATATGGCTGCAAAATGAATATTTAGCTGCTATGTCAAAAAATTCCTAGTACTCACTTTGTTTTAGGCATTTTCCATGTTTTGAAAGTTGGTTCAACTCCCATTTCAGTAACTGGCTGTCATTATACTCAAGATTTTGTACTACTTTCTATCGTGAATGGCAGCAACTGGGAAAGAACTCAGAACATTTCGAATACCAGGCTAGTATGATAATACAGGTGTGTTCATGTGTAATAAAATCTACTTAAACTTTGAACAGCAAATATCTTCTTGTTCTGTATTAATAATTACTCCACATAAACTAAACTCCATTGCTTTAGTCTGCAAGCGAACTATTCCTACTGAGCGGCCACTGCTTGTCAGTGAAGTTATTTCCAACTTTAGCAGACAGAGGGTGTTGCATGGTTGGCCCAATGAATTCCCATGGCCATTAATTTCGGTTTTCTAGACCGGAGCCACTACTTTTCCATTCAAGTAGCTCCTCAATTATCCTGATGAGGCTGAGTGAACTCCGTTCCAGACCCACTACTTCCTCAGAAAATCTGGTAGCACCAGGAATCAAACCCAGGAACTCTGACCACTAGCCCACAGAGGCGATTAATTACTCCAAATATTAAATCATTATAGTACTTCACTTAAACAGCAAAATCCCGACCAACAATTTCATTTCCTACTCTCATTTCTGCATTCTACCACAGCATCAGAGTTACATAAAGAAATGTCAATTTTTTCATTCATTCATTCATTCATTCATTCATTCAACTTAAGAGGTTGTGGACTTACACAGCTGGAAAACCAGGTGACATACAAATAATAAAAAGACTACAAGAGGAGCCCCATTAATTATAATGATCAAAATTAATTATACTTAATCCATAACAATTACGCATATGTTATCCAAGACACTACTGATTATAAGAAACTCAGTACATATTCAAAATCAATACTTCAATGAACACATATTACCCACGGTATCTTTCATTAATCACAAAGAGTGGCCAAATAGCCTGTTAACCTAAAGCACTCACTTGTATTAATGATGATGTTCTGAATTAAACCTACTAGCGAATTTGTTGAACAGCATCACAGAGATGTAAGTTGTACAGTGAACATGGTTAACCTAATTTCGAAAGTTTTCTGTAAATTCAAGATGCAAGGAAGAAATTTCTGAATCATTTTTGTGTACATTTTACTAACAAGTCAACCAACTTTTTGGCAATCTTACATATCTGGACTTTGAACATTTCTTTCACAGTATCATCCAAAAAATATCATCCACTACAACCCAGTGGCTTACCATTAAAACAGGGTTGTTTCCTTCACTACTGTCAATTTACATTTCCAGTTTTCTAGGTTCCAAAAGGGCACATGTCCTGTGGACGTGATTTCACTGAAGACCATTTATCAGAACATGTCTCATGGTAACATAGCACATAAGGTATGCGGGTTCAAACCCGGAAGAGGTTGTGGAATTTTTAAGGGTGGAAAAATTCAGGGAACAAGTCCTCCTGGAGGGACTTTAAGCCGTGGGTCCCGTGTCGTAGCTTTACAGCACGTAAAAGAACCTCATATCTCCAAAGGAGGTCACTGAGCCAAATTCAAGGACATTTCCTGCCCAACAGTAGTCTCTAACGCCTCTGATAGATGGGGGAAGCATTATAGATACCGCCAAGCCAGTAGAGGCTGAACTCACTGGCTGATGGTACTCAGGACTGATGGTATGCACCAATATCGGTAAGGTATAGAGAATGATAGAATATCACAGAGGGAAGCACAATGGACCAATTCTGGTCTAAGTGCATGGGGAAACCCACCCTCTCCAATAACTAACTAACATAGCACATAACACCTGAAAAATAAACATTTCTCTGCTGGTATATGGTTATAGCATTTATAGTGTGATATGTTCGGGATTCTACTGAGCCAAAGTCTGTTACATGCAGTGATTCTTATAAACTTACAACATTGTAATTCATAAATACTTACCTCATGTACAAATGTCATACTGAGTTCATGAGGTTTTGTACACCCGCAACCCAAACCAAATTTTCTGACTTTTCTTCTCTGCGATGATGTCCACACATCAAGATCATCACATGTCAATGTCAAGTTGCATTTGTTCTTCTCAAACAAATAAGCAATGTCAGGAAATGGAATTTTCCTATATTTTGATTTAAGATACATTAATGCAAGACATTCATCATTATACTTATTTTCATTATTTTTTTCTTTCCTGAAGTATCTGAATGGATCAGGTATGGCTTGAAGAAATTTTTCTGCATTGAAAACATCTCTCACTTTTTTCATAAATATTTCTATGTAATCAGGTGAAAAATATACAATTTGTCTCTGCACTGGAAGTCGCAGCAATGGAACAGAATAAACCACCTGGTTTCCACACTCTGTAATTGTCATTCTGGCTGGCAATAACTGAACCTCTGATGTAGGGGTTTCTCTTTGTTCATGTGCTGTTGAAGCTGATGGCAAGGCTTGACTTTCTTCATTATAATCTGATTCTATTCTCCCATTTCCTGTGGTATTTGTAGGAAGCTTAGCACCATAGATGGCCAACTGGGAACACACAATTCTATTTTCATTTACATTGTTATTACTGGTTTCTTTAGACATTTCACTTATTCCCTTATTGTCTTCACCATCAACATTACCTTCCAGTCGGCGCAAAGAATCTGATTGCATCACTTTGCTCAGGTTTTCCATAGCATTATTAATGTCATTAATGTCTTTTTTTATAGCAGATTTTGGTGCTGATTCTGTCACACTTTTGTTCACTTGATCTGTTCTTTTATTGAAACATACATTTTTGTTCAAATCCAAATATTTCTTATCTACTACATTTTGAGTACCAGGTGTTTGAATACCATGATTAATTGTTGCAGAACTTCCATTGTCTACATCTTTCCTTGCAACAGAATCTGAGAGAAAGCGAAACAAATTGTGAATTGCAGTCTTTTCTGTTTTTACACTCTCTTCAACTGGAGTGTTTCTTGGTTGTGTTTCGTTAATCCCTGATACAGGCTTCTTCATAATAATCTTAACTTTAATCTTTGGCTTCTTCACATGTGCTTTCGAACCATCCTTATCACGTTCATTTTTTATCTTCCTGTTAAATATTTTATTTTGAGAACACTCTGCTTCAGTAAGAATTTCATTCTTAATATGTTTCATTTGCACATTGTACTTCGAATCTGTGCTGCTGTGCTTTTGTTTGTCATTAGTCACTGTTGTTTCTGCAATAGACTGCTTTTTAAATACAAGGGCTTTGCCAGCAGTTTTCAAAATTTTCATTTGTTCTGATTTTATCTTCTCAGAGGAACAAGATTTCCTTTTCAGTTTCCCATGACCTTTAGGTTTCTCTGACAGATCTTCAACAGGAGTGGAACTACCTGCTTTTAATATATATGAACGTGTTTCATTTAAGGCACATTTATTATTTAAAATATTTAAGTTAGATATTACTCTTGAATGCTGGGATGTAGAGTGACTATGACTTTTATCACACTCAGTATCTGAATCTGAAATGGTAATAACTGGTATAAATCTGCCACAGCTTCCTAAGAATTCAACATCAACTTCAGTCTTATTTATATTACCGATATCACTGTCACCTCGATTCACAAGTTCTTTTGGAAGAATGACTTTACTATAGTCATCTGTGGTAAGATCAATAATATCATTTCCAACTTCTGAACTGTTCATTTGTGTGGCCATTTTTACTTACATCTGATGTCTGAAAAACAAAAAAATGTAAGGCTGGTTATAAGAACAAAGTAAAGTAAGTAAAGGTAAAGTTATCCCTGTAACAAGCCATGGAAGCCCATGGGGTTGTGAGATGTTGAGGTTCCCATATTTTCTAGACAGTCAACTCATAGATGGCAGCAAGGTTGTCAGTACTACATACTGGCCGCCCTTTATCCCCAAGCATATTTCAAGAATATTCCTGTTACTCATTTCTGTTGGAGGCCGAGTCGACCACAGGGCGATAGTGCAGCTGGAAGGATTAGGTCAATTGAAAAAACCCAATGACCTCATCAGGACTTGAACCCGTGACCTTCCAGCTTGTAGCATAGTGCCTCAACCAACTACAGTACTGTGTTGCCTTAAAAATTGGATAAAGCTCGTATTGCCAAATCCCCTGTATGTTTTGCATATAATGATATGGTATTGTGAAAGGACGTTAAGAGGTAAAGGAAAACTTCCCCTTATGTAACACTATACCATGAAGGCAAACAGGAAGAATTAAAGTTACAATTCCATACATTCTTAGGCTGGGAAGTGAACCTTGGCCTTAAAGCTTGTAGCTAGTAACTGTGGTCAGTTATGAAGCTTGGCCATGATACAATGAAATGACACAAGAGTGCCCCCAAATCTAACATAGTGAGCGGAAAACCATATTTCTAGAGCCCTGCATTCAGGTATTATAAATTAACTGATCTGTGACAGTTAGCAGAAAATTATTCATAACTGATTTCTGATCAAAACTTGTGACTTGTGACTCATGACTACATCTCTTATTACATAGCATTAGACATGTGCATCTTTGTATGGATGGAAATTAGGCTACTTTTAATCATAAGGTTCAGTTAGTGAACCAATTTGTTTAAGAAGTGATAGTTTTGTATGGCATTAGGTATTTGTGATGCCTGACGGTTTTGTTTGGAATATGACTATATTTTGGATACAAGTAATCATGGAAACCTGACAGTGAAAAGTACAGTCTAAAAGAGTTTGAAGGTTTCACTCGGAAAATATAATATACATTTTGTATCAGTTCTGAATATTGTATGGAATTCTTTCTTGGGTCAATACAGAGATACAAGAGGCATTCAAATTTTTCACATATACTTTAACTTACTAGCTGTATTTTGGTTGGGGAACTTAATATTCTATGGTTTACTCTGTTATACATAGGTTGTACTGAAAGTCATGAGCAACTTCTTTTTGCATGCATCCTGGGAATAGCAGATGAAAGAGAGTAAGATGGTAGGTGGAACCAGCTGTTGTGTTAACCCTGAGTGTCTTGTGACGTCAATAGCTTGCATCACGTGACCTGTATCACTCCTAACAAAATGGCCGACAACCATATGTTTTTGCCAGCGTGCTGTCATCAAATTTCTTGTGAAAGAGGAAATCCCTGTTGCAGAAATTCACCAGAGACTTCAGCGTGCTTATGGAATTGTGTGCATGGGTGTGAGCAGTGTTCGAAAATGGGTGAAACATTTTCAAGATGGGAATACCAGCATCGGAGATGAGCCTCGGAGCAGCCGTCCTCGAACAGCCGCAACTGAACCCAACAAGGAAAGAGTGGATGAGATCATTCAAGATGACAGGCATGTGACTGTGGACACAACAGCCCAAAAACTTGGAATAGGGCACAGTGTAGTACAGGAGATGATTGAAAGCTTGGGCTATAGGAAAGTATGTGTTCGTTGGGTCCCGCAGTTATTGACCAAAGACCACAAAGATCAGTGAAAAGCCATCACCTCAGAACTGCTGCATAAATATCGACACAAAGGCGATGATTTTTTGCTCTGTATTGTGACAGGTGACGAAAGCTGGTTTCACCATTTTGAGCCTGAAACGAAACAGGAGAGTATGGAATGGCACCATTTGCATTCTCCATCAAAAAAGAAGGCAAAGGCAGTGCCATCAGCTGCGAAGGTGATGGGCACAGTCTTCTGGGATGCAGAGGAGCTTATTCTGGCCGAATTCCTGAAACCTGGGCAAACCATCAATGCTGCTCGTTATGTCCAGATGCTGCACAAGCTCTGTTGTGCATTGCGCAATAAATGTCTGGGATGAAACATCATCAGCCTGCATGACAACGCTTGCCCCCATGCCGCTTGCCTCACATTGGAAGCAACTGCAAAGATGGGGTGGGAAGTTCTTCCACACCCCTCCTATAGTCCTGATCTGGCACCCTCCGACTACCATCTCTTTGGATGTGAAGGATCAGCTGTGTGGACAATGTTTTGAGACAAGGGAGGCAATTCAGAAAACAGTGCGCCAGTGTCTTCGGATGGCTGGAACGGAATTTCACGGAAGAGGAATTCTCAAACACCCAGAATGCTGGGAGAAATGTGTACAGAGAAGTGGCGATTATGTGGAAAAATAAAGAAAGGTCTGCAGATTGAGGTGGTGTATTTGGTTTGTCAATAATAAAGCATGTTACGTTACAAAAAATTGTTGCTCATGACTTTCAGTACGACCCTCATATATTTCTGTCTAGCCTTCACACAGCAGTCTTTTAGATATTCCCATGGATATTATTCTAGAAACAATTTCCTTGTCTGGGTGTGGTAAATATATGAATAATATATATCTGGACACTTTTCAGTATGTTTTCATGTGACATACCATTTACACATTGAAATGACTGGAAAATTTATTTTAACCAAGAGTCGGACATATAGAAAACATGTCACTGTCCGTATTGTTGTAGGCTTTGCCTAGCAACCGCTGTTAACTCGCTTTGCCTAGTAACAGCTGTTTACTCGCTGTTGCTAAGCAATGATACTTGCGCTGTCACATTTGCTTGAATGTGGGCAGTTCCCACAAATGTAAGTGGCAAAAAATTATGACATCAAATACAAACTATAATAAATCATGGTTTAACTATGGTTGTCCCAAACTTACCTGTTCTCAACACTTATGAATATTATGCTTATCTAGCGATAATTTAGTTTATGCTGCTCTGATACATCTAAATATGAGGATTTTGTGTTGATGTTTAGATGTGGAATCTCCCAACATTACTTAGAAACTAATATTCTCCTATGATAATTAGAATTCACATAATTAACTATATGGAGATCAGCCCTTCTTGATAAGCCGCCAGTTGTGCAGCTACTCAAGAATTTCCCGGCATTTTACAGAACCTGAAGTTTCATTACCGTGTTCGCAAGAGCACTCCACTCCCTATCCTGAGCCAGATCGATCCAGTCCATACCACCCAATTCTATCTCTCTAAGATCCATTTTAATATTGTCCTCCCACCTATGTCTTGGTCTCCCTAGTGGTCTCTTCCATTCTAGCTTTCCCGTCAATATCGTATAAGCATTCCACTTCTTTCCCATTCATGCTACATGACATGTCCATCTCATCCTCCTTGACTTGATTATACTAATTGTACTTGGCAAAGAGTTCAAGTTATAGAGCTCCTCATTATGCAGTTTTCTCCAACCTCCTGTCACTTCATCTCTCTTCGGTCCAAATGTTCTCCTCAACACCCTGTTCTCAAACACCCTCAGTCTATGTTCCTCCCTTAATGTCAGAGACCAAGTTTCACACCCATATAGAACCACAAGCAAAATTATAGTTTTGTAGTTCACATATCTTTATTTCTTCTCTATATGTAACTTAGAATCTCTACAATATCAGGGGTTAAAAATTATCCACCAGTAAAAAATATGAGAAAACTCTGGAATCCTGGCTTTCGAGGAGGATGTGGAGGTCTAACAGTAGTTAACCTCAAGTGTGCTTTTAGCATTTGGAGTACAGCCATGTCATTACACTGAAGGTGTTCCAACATTTCAATATACATTGCAGTTGAATGGTATGAGTGAGGTAGAAGGATAATACAGCCCAACATGCAGACCTCACAATGCAAGTACAGTTTGTGGTGTAGACCCTGGGACTCAAATTGAAAAGGGCCCTGCAGTTAAGGCAACACCTGGCACCATCTGATATTATCTGACCTCCTACAAGACCTCACTAACCTAATATAACCCTGCTATAGACAGCTGAAGCTACTCCCCTGGGGTCTCCCCTCTCCAGCATATTCATGACAGCTTTCAAAGAAAAGACAACAGTATCAGTTTTATGAAGAAGAAATTCTACCACAGATATGTGGGTGGTATATCTGTGATTTGGGCACGTGGCCTTCCCACCTTAAGAGACATCCTCTCCCATACCCAAACATAAAGCTTTCCATTGGACTGGAAATAGACCAATTTCCCTTCATTAACAACTTGGTTACATGCGGTCTGGAAAGCTCCATGGGACATTATCTACAGGAATCCCATCCACAAGAATACCTACATGCAGCCTTGCACCATTCACCAGCATATACTCGTATGTCATCACTATATCTGCAGACAGGACAAGAACAGGCTGTGACACATCCAGCCAGGATTCCTAACTACAACACATAACTGCCATTCTCCAAGCCAATGATTACTCCAACATGACCATCAATGATCATTAATAAATACAGGAGTATTACCAATGGAAGTGGACAAAAAGTACCACAAAAATTATATATTCCTTATATTCATATTCAGGCAACAGCCAATCACACTGTCAGGTCACTCAAGAAGAAAGGGATTCACGCAATTCATAAACCTCTGAACAAAAATAATGAACCATCCTGGGTTGATCAAGGACAAGCAATTCTATCATGTACCAGATCTCCTGCACCTGTGGCCAAAACCATCATATTTCCACTAGGATAATGGAATACATCAGAAAAACAACTGATCCATAGTAGCTTAATATGACAAAACATCGGATTAGGTTTTACAAGACAGGCCATGGCAAACACTAACACTTACCATCCCAATACCTCCTGCGAAGCCATTGAAACAATCTGTGGGAACTGCCCACATTCAAGCAATGAAGCTCACATTGTCACACTTGCTTGAATGTGGGTAGTTCCCACATCACAATCTCCGCGGGGGGGTGGGGGTAAGGGGGGTGATGTGGGAACTGCCCACATTCAAGCAAAGGTGACGTGAGCTTCATTGCTTGAATGTGGGCAGTTCCCACAAATCAAATGCCTTCACAATTTCAACTATAAGGATGGATACAAACTAAGCCAAGATTGGTCAGACCTCTTTTCCTTAACACTTTCTTCTTAAACAAAGGGCCTTTTTCCACTGCACAGCAACACTATATAACCCCATCCTTACTTCCACTGGCTGGACACTGTCACCTATAAGGACACCTTTTCAAGTTGGGACTGACAGATAACCCACCTTGTGAAAGGTGCCTACAAGAAAACGAATCAGCCATACACATCCTGTGTATTTGTGAGGCCACAGCGTATTTAAGATTTCGTCACTTGGGTCAGTTTTTTTATGGAACCAAGTAACTTATATGATGCCCCATAAGCAGGGTCCTACACCTTAATAAATGTATAGGATAAATAAAGGGCTAATCCAAGGGGAAGCACAACAGATCATTGAAGGTCGCAGTGCGGGGTTCGGTTCTTATGGCCCACATTTACATACATACTTCCACTGGGCTGTATCATCCTGTCTCACAGATAATGCAAATTCCTTTTAACAACACGGCCCCCCGTTTTTTATATAAACTGTGTACATTGGAATCTTTGGCAAGCAGAATAACTCTGCTCTCTCCTCTCCCAAAGAAAATTTAAATTTTCAACCGAACGTGAAATGTCTATGCCAATGGATACTGAAGCAGAGGTGACACAAGGTTGTTCTGTGCTGTCCCCTATATTGCACAGTACGTATATAAATGATGCTGTATATACATATACCAAAATACTACCATGTAATACACATAAAAATTATAAATATGTATACAGGATTTTCCACTAAGCTTCTTGAAAAGGGAGGGGCTATGTAAGACGTATACACGTAAACTTCCATGTATGGTTAACATGTACCGCTCGCTGACCATGACCTTGATTAAGGAGACACTTGGCCTCTCGTCATGGTGAACATCCCGAAAAGACAAAACCGACTAACCTTGACAGAAACTAAAATCTGAGAGATCCTGATGGTCCTCCATTACATGACTAACCGAACGCCAGTCGTAAAATAACATCGGGCTCCGCCTAACTGATGAATGAGTAACCGAACGTCAGTCGCAAAAAGACTTCAACCTTCGCCTCACTCGCCCTGAAATGGCAACTGCAATATTTGCTGAAGCAACATACTACACTGCTAAGACCCGAAGGCCCCGAAACCCGAAATCTTGATGTTTACTGGCCGCGAACGTAACAGGACGAGAGTAGTATGGCATTATTACCGGCTGAGCTACCACAACCATCCATAGCAGCACATGACGCTATGCACCTGCCAAAGTTACGCAGTTTAGCTTTTTGTTTCGAAAAATGTTAAGTGCACTTTCGTAGCCAGATACATGGTATAATTATTTCCCAATTTCACATAGGGCCATAGGAAACACGGGAGATTGTAATACTTTCAACCACTGTGGCAAATTGCCATGAAATATCCGCCTCTTATGGCCGAAAATGTAGAAGAGGAATTCAGTCACTCGGCTTAACAAAATTACACGTACAAACACGTTTTAGACATTAAGGTTCATAACCAGTTCTTTGCCTATAACTGTTAATTACACGCAAACATCTGCACGGGAGGTTTTGCGATTAAAATCCAAATTCAAACGTAATACATATTTGTTCTTCACATAATGCGGCCACCGAAGCAAGCATTACGAAGTACAAACTTACTACACCCCCTCATATTGTAACTGCTATGAACTTTAGCGGTCATATCGTTAAGTCATTTACAGTAATCCAGATGTAGACACATTACAAGTTACAAACGAATTTAAAGTTTTGTTGATTACATATTTATTTGGCCGATACACAACATGCACCGCTTGTACTGAAGGATGTTGGATGGATGCACGTTCCTCATAAACTAATCAAAATGTATCTGTAAGGTAACATACTGTCAACAAATACATAATTCTAATTATTCGTATATACTTCATTATACCATAATGCTCGATTACCTATAAAAAGGCCCCTTATTCACGTCTTTACAGGCCCGAAACAGTAAAATCCTCTTGCGCACAACACTACTATCACTTTACGTGAACGACCTGAACGAATAGTGCAATCGTTCTATTAAATGATAAATAACCGCAAATATGAAAGATGATCTTAAAATCCACAGATTATAAACGTAGTAGTATTCCGAGGCTACTTTCTAGTATCTGCAGTTACTACCCCCAAAGAAGATTAATGCTTTCTCTTCTTTCCGCCCTGAAATGATACTGCTCTTAATTTTTACCCGGTGGATATAAATGCACCTGCCAATAAAGAAATCCTGTTCTCATGCACCATGACCCGTTGTGAGAGTATGTGTGGCTATGATTTAATAATTCCTTTATTAATTTCAACGACACTATTAATAGGATGATTAATGAGAGTGAACTGGGAACGAGATGGAAAGAAGCCTTTATGGCATAATTTTAAGCACTTGCTTTATGGAACTCAGGAAATCCATGAAAAACCTTAACAGATGGCCATTTTCACGTCGGGAATTCGAACAGGCACGCCCAAAATAAAAGTGCGAATCATTAACAGCTGTAGCCAGTTTGCTCAGTGTGTATAAAAGGTAGCGTTCCTGTGACTATTAAGCATCATGTAGGAATACATATGGTGGAGTCCGAATCGTTACAGTTGTATCCAGTTTGCTCAGCGTGTGTGTAAAAGGTAACGTTCCTGTGCCTAATTAATTAAGCATCACGCCATGAATACGTATGGTTGAGTGGAGGTATAGCTCCACCATTCTTGACCTTGGCACTAGATGGAAGGTGAGTGGTCAGCTTCACGTGCCGGCCGCTTTAACCCGGGGAAAGAGCACCACCACCCATTGGATAGGATGCTGAGTGGGTCCGAGGGCTGGTCAGAACCCTGTGGAGCAGAGAATAATTTCTTCCACCTGGGAATGGAACCCAGGCCACCTAGTCCATCACTACACCGAGATAGTGTACAAAGACACTGACGTTCTGGAGGAACTTGCTGCCTCCACTTTCATGGAGCAAGATGAAGGCTGCAGGTTTCTCTTGAAACATTGGTAGTTTTACATACCATACTACATGGCACCACATATTAGAAGACAGCAATCTTCATCATGTTATGCATGTTTTGTTTTAGTCTGGTATAGTATAGTATGGTGCAGTATAATGTGTGTAGTTTACTGTATTTCATTTTATCACTTCAGTTGATTTCAACAGGACACTTCTTGTAACAAGAAAGGTATTCCTTTCATGTGTGCAGCAATTATAATGTGAGGCATCAATTAAAATACTTAATAACAAATCGCCTACCAGTAACAAATATTGTGCCTTCTAAATCAGTGGTTCTCAACGTTTATGAGACCACGGCCCAGTAAGTTCTTTCTTTATATGATGAGGGCCCAGTCCCAACAGATTTACTTGTAAATACCTTTCCAGTTTTGTTAAAATTCATGCATTAAGCTAATTATAAAATATTATTCATGAAAAATGCTTAGAAAATGAAAATGACAAATTCCAGAAGAGCCTCTCGTGGCCCAGTATAATTGATGCCAGGGCCCACTACTGGGCCACGGCCCAGCGGTTGAGAAGCACTGTTCTAAATTACTGCTTCCTCCCAAAGGTCTATTATCATCAGAAGCTACTGGCCCAACAAACATCTTATTCATACAGAAGATCCAGTTTTTGTGCTTTATGTGAAATGTCAAGTAGTGTGTTAACTGCTTGTACACTTTAATGCCAAAATTACACAGTTACACACTAACCATGAGACCTATAGATCCCTACACTCTTAGTTAGTAAGCTTCCACCTGCCTAGATAAGATTACCAGTATTCCAAGTGATCCTTCCAATTATGATGTTAATTTAGTGGGTAGAAACATATGCACCATGAATAAAAACATAGAAATTCTACTGGTAAGGTTCTATAAGTAAACACAGAGGATACTAATGTAAGACCTGAAGCTTTCTTGACATCTAAAGCTGATAAAATTTTCTGGGGCCTTCAGCCGCATCAGTTGGTTAAAAATTACCAACATTTCAGGGACCTTCTGTCACCATCAGACTGATGATGGGAACAGAGACTGTCCCTGAAACAATAGTAATTTTTAACCAAATGACATGGCTGATGGCCTGAGATGATTTTATTAGAGAATACTAAGTTTGTGTTCATTTCGTTCATAGTGTAGAATTATTAAAGGGTTAATCAGAAGGGAAGCACAATAGATCACTGAAGGTCATGATGCTAGTGCCAGATTTTATGGCCCACCCCTTATACATACATATAATGAAAAAGTTAAATAGTTCCGTTCAGTGTGAATAGTTAAGATTTTCTTATTTCAATTATTCATGCTCTTGCATGTTTCAGTCTTCAGAGACCATCTTCAGAGGGACACCTTTTACATCAATACAGTTAGAAGCCACTATTACAGTACATGTTCTAAAAGTTAAAATATACACATGCAATATAAATAATAAAATCTTAAGTCTTTACAACTACAGCGGCTGTTCCAATACTTTAAAATATTTATAGTTGGTTTGTTAGGATTCTGTTGGAATTCGTAAACCAAGCCGGTTCGTGTCGTCCCTCTTTATTTCTTTTTGATGGGGGCCGAACGTGTGCCACCTTGTCGTTCTTGAGAAGAGGGTTCTTTAATGTTGTCCAGTAAGTGTTTGTGGCCCGCTGTGTTGTTTTTAAATAGTCACACTGAATGGAACTATTTAACTTTTTCATAATATTAGTGTGACGGACCAGAATGAAAAAAATCAAATACATACACACAAGTTTGTATTCGTGCCCAGACACTAGAATGCAGGGCAAAATGACAATATAATGATAACTAATAAATCCTTAAAAATTGTTATAAAGTTCGGTTATTTCAAATTGACAATAAAAAATAAAAATTGGAATCACACAGAAACTAAGAACAAATTAATTTCAGGGAATGTTTAGTACCACCGAGTTCAGAATCTTTCATCTTCTTATTTACTATAAAATAATGTAAAGATTAAGTGAACTAGAATTTAGCTATCTTTGTAAGCACATGAATCTTAGTCTCCCACTTAAAGGAAGAAAAAGGATTATGTTTATTTGAGAATAGGCTGCTGGGGACAATATTCAACTTTAAACACAAGAGACATGAAGTAGAATAAACACTATTGCACTAATGTGTCTAGAGGTAAGACAAATTTTCTCTAGCACCATTCACTATTATTAAAGTTTCTGTCATTCTCATAGCTTGAAGTTACCATAAAATTGAAAACTGTAGAACATGCATAATATGAAAATAAATCTTTAAAAAATTTTCTGCTGCACTGCAATATCTTAAAAAAATTACAAATTTTAAATATGGCCATTTAACAGATGGTAGTGTAGAAAAAGAACCAGTAGTTTTACAGTTATCAAACTTATGATCATCTTGCTACCATAAATATTGTCATACTTACTGTGTCTTTCCAGGATTAATGAAATAAATTAATAAATATGTATTAAAGTATTTATTTTTAGTTTTTTGTATGTACATATTACTAATAGCAAAATATGTGGAAACAGACATCATGTTCCACTTGTAAATTAACATGTATTATTTTCACATTAAGAATCTGTTTGTATGAAAAAAGAAAAGGCACTTCAATGACATCACTTCTATCTCATATCATTATTAATCATAATTTCATTTGTAAATAATGTACACGACAAAATAACATAGAATTTCTGACACTTGAAGTGTCTTACAGGAATAAACAAGTGGCAGTGGAGTTCTGTGAGCATCACGATTGGATGAATCTTTAAATTGAAACATTCACACACAAAATTACAAGTGCATACTACGATTAAGATATCAGAAAGATCTGACTACAAAAAATAAAAGACTAAAATATAGTATAGAGACTGAAGAAGTACATTAATGGAAAGTCTTTGACTGGTTGTTACATGGTGGGCTGCACATGAGCTTCTGAGCCTTTTGTTCTTTGTTATATTAAAACCTGACATGTTAGTTACGAAATCGTTTCAACTGTCTTCAAATGTTTTACTTCAATGGTATCCTTGTAAAATAGGCTGAAAATGGAGAAGTAAATATGAAACTTCACCCAAAACGTATTTTTAACAAATCTATACAAAGTGACATACAATTTACACTATTTAACACTGCCCATTAAATTATACAATACTACTTATGCACCTTGGGCACCATTGCCTGTGATCAATATCTTTAATATAACACATTTATTAAGGCACTTAAGTGAATTACCTCATCGTAGAAGACATTTTATTTTAAGGACTCTCTGTCCACAAATTAATAACATCAAATATCATATAAATAGTATGGGTTGATTGATTGGTTAATTGGTTGGTTGATTCGTTTGTTGGTTGGTTGGGTGTTTGGTTTGTTGATTGGTTGGATGGTTGGCTGTTTGACGCTGTACACTGAGACTTAGATAAAATTGATGTAGCTTGGTATCGTACACAAGACATAAATTAAAACATAAAGCTTAGTTCAAAGCAAACATGGCTCTTGCCATGATTCTGAAGCTGGTAAAATTGGTGTAACAAGTTCAACAGTCTTATAAATTAAAATACAAACCAGATTAAAAGAAAATATGCTTTTTGTCATGCTTTTGATGCTAGCACAATTTACACATGGAATGAGATTTATTGTTACTTCACTATATTTAGAAAAATGATGCAAACGCAGCAGGAACACGTAACACCGTCTCAACAGTCTGTTTTACTATAACGAGTATTAGGCCACTCAACAGTGGGTGTGACTAGTGGTGAGTGTCATTTCCTCCTGCTACTGCTTATACCTGTACCTGATTTCTCCAGGTGTGGACCATAGGATGGCAGCTGTCCAGCCTGTGTACATGACTTGCAGCAAAAGCGGGCATAGTACTTATGTGTGCAGTACTGACCGGCCACAATGAGGCGGCAGTTGGCAAAGAATGGATTGTCTGTGCAGTTTGGATGGATATATACCCCTGAAACAGAGTTCTAAACTGTAGCTCAAAGTAAAATAATATACTTCAAAGTAGGAAGGAAAACCAAGCAGTGCTGCTGATTACAGTATTTGTAAGGCAGGAAGGAACATAAATTTGTCAACATATAGAAAATTCTCCATTGTTTATAATTACAATTAGAACAGCTGTGAAGTTCGACTTGTCACTGACTTCCTTATTCTAAAAATGTATATAATATAAATTGGAGATATTTATTGGGCGAGACTGGGTCCTTCTGTCACACCCTGAGACAAGGTGAATACGAAAGTATGTTGGAAAATGTCTGTGGCTTTGTTTTTAAGATACATCCTGATCTTTAACTGCAGGGACTGTGGCTAATCATAAAAGCCTGAGTTACTGACCTATACAAAATGGAAACAATACTTGAAGAATAAGAGGATGAGTGGTACTGATCTAAATTTGGAGTTGGTGCATCGTGAATATAAGTGTACCACCCTATCTGAGCCAACCTCGGCCAGTATCATACATATATACACTTCTCATATTTCATCTAAGAATAATTGGAAGAAGTATCATATATTCTACATATGCATAAATCCTTTATGATATTAACCAATGAGGAGAGAGGAGGGAGGAAAAATTAAAGTAGTCAGATAACTGTAACAGAACCCATTCTTGGATCATTTCAATGATATTGTAATTCAGCATTAAAAGAGCCACAGGTTCACCCAAATTATTACCACTGAGAAGATGTATAAAATATTTGTCAAAATAACAACAAGCACTTGAAGGTAGGAGAATAGCCAGTTACCTCAAGCATATCAGATACATCTCAAACAATTGAGAATGTTGAATATAATGGCAGCATCACAAATTAAATATGTGTGATGTCATTATGACTCAGAGAAGTAGTCACATCTCAGGATTTCAGTTCTATACATGAAGTGTGAAGCAAGCCATGCAGATGAGGTTCACAATATGAACACATTTTAATTTGTTCTGTTTTTCATGTGACACATATCATCGTATTACCCCAGTACCCTATGGCATTTTCTGCTTTAAGAGGGACTCAGTTGTGACAAATAACAGGCAAACATGTTAAACGCACACAAATATACATGTTATGGAAAAGTTCAGATCCATGAAAATCAGGAGTACCATGTTTTAACAGCTGCATCTAACATAGCCAACTGTCACTCTGTAGTCTGTAGTACTTGAATTTTAAAATCGCTTTCTTACCTTCCACTGCTATGGAGATCGAACTAGAGGAATGTCCATATTGATTTGAAGCTGAACATCTATATGTTCCAGCATCACTTCCATTCGCTCGCACAATCAACAGACGATTGTTTTCTGTGAAGGAAAGTATTTCACTTCTGAAATTCCATTAATACTCATTCAATGAGAACAGATAACACACACAGTTGGACCTAGTGCATGTAGTTCATCACTATACATTAAGGAAATCTGTATAAAATATACTCAAAGTGTTTTTGTTTCTAAAATCCAAACATCGTATGTTAATACTTTGAAGCATGAGGTACATATAAATTATATGAGGGATATTTGGAAAGTAACCTCCGTATATTTTAGGCAACTAATGTAGGAGTGGGGAACAGCTCTTGCATGAAAGATAGTGTTTGTTCTTGTCTCTACAGAATGAGTTATGATATTTCCTGTGATCGATAATCCTGCCAGTTGCAAAATTTGCGTGGTTGTATGTTTTCTTCATGCTAAAAACATGAATACTGCGGAAGTCCATGGTGAATTATGCACAATTTACAGCCAAAATGTATTAAGTGAAGGAACTGTAAGACAATGGTTTAAAATGTTCAAAGATGGGCAGGGGAACAAATGTTCATGATGAAGAGCGAAATTGTCTGCCAGTCATCTGTATTGAGTAATGATCTTCAAAGTAAAGACAGTGCTTCTCATTCTCAGAACTTTTGTGTGAATTTCCACACATTTCACACACTGTTCTCTATGAGATTATCACAGTTAGGCTAGGCTATTACAAGTTGTGCGCAAGATGGGTTCCAAAAATGCTCATGGGTGCACACAAAGAGAATGGCTTCAGCTTTGAATTATTTAAAGAAATACCACAAAGATAGTGACGAATTTCTCAATCACATCATATGAGTAACAAGTGATGAAACCTGGGCTTCATTTGTGAATGTTAAAACCAAGGAGCAGTCAAAGCACTGGGTGCACACACACACTTACAAAACAATCAGAAAAAGTTTAAACAGACATCTGCCTGACAGAAAGCTGATGACAACTGTTCTCTGGGACAGGAAAGAAGAGCTGATGGTGGAATTCATGCACATCCTCAAGTATCTGCCCCCTGTAATGGCCAATGAACTCTTATTTGCCGCACTAAATATTTGTTTTATGTTAAATAAAGTCTTTGTTCTGTGTAGTTTTGTAGTAGTGGGACTTACATGCCTCACTTAAAAAAAATATTTTTCCAAAAGCAGGGACGAGAAACTTTTTGAATAAAGTTCATTTTTTGCACAAAATGTATAAAATAGATGCATGATAGATGCTGTGCCTGTCCATCTTTAATCTGTAAAATGACTTGGTAGAAAACACTAAGCAGACAGTTTTTCAACAGGCAAATTGTAAACACTCTTTTATGATAATGAAAAATTAGTTCATTGTGCTTTCTTAATGCTGTTAAACAAGATATTTCTTACGTTAGAAATGATGAGAATATCTTAATCTGTTTGTATATGCTGTATGGCATTGACAGTTATGAGAAACAGGTCTTAATTTCTCTGCTCACATACAGAATAACACCATACTCACCTGTGATGTGTATCCTTTCACTGGGTTCCAACAACTGTTCATCCTTGTACCACACTACTTGAGGAATAGGGTACCCATCAACATCACATGGAATTGAGATGTCACTCCCAATGGGATAAACCGTTCGAGTGAGGGATACATTGGCTTGCACAGGAACTAAATAAAAAAGACAAAACAAAAACATTAAAATACTGTTCTCTGTTCCTGCTTAATGGGCAATAATAAACACTCCAACAACCTCAAATATTTAAGTTTAAATCAAGCTATGAAACTGAGAATAAAATTTCTTTAATGAGTATCTCCATATACATGTCACAAATTCTGCGGTCAGTTATTTATTATAATGACATAATAACTAAATAATGAGTCTAATTTTCTGTTCCAAAATATACAGCACTTACACCTGAATGGATGAAAGAAAAATTTGCCATTACAGAAATCTTCTTATGGCCATTATGGTAGCCTTCTTATTACATTCTATTAAATGAAGTGATCAGTTCATTCCCAACATTCTGCATAACTATTCAAAAAGACTGTATTGAGCCAACTACTAATGCTCTTTGGTGTTCACAGTTATGAATGAATCACCCGTTGGCTTGATGTTTGCTAATGATGGAGAGTATGCATGGTCATGGTGCCACCATTATATAACAAGAGAAACCTGGGGAAGCCCCTCAAGTGTAAGAATGCAAGGTATAAAAATATAGATTTTTTGAAGAAAAGAAAACGTTAACTTTTCTTTTGCATTCTATCAAACATTAAGACATATCATCATTCATTAAAACTGATAAAGAATTGTGAGCTATGAATTATGTGACCTACAAGACCCCAGTGACCTGTATAGAGCCCAGTGGTTCATCTACAGAAGCCTAGAGCATGTTCCCCCTATCATACATTTTCCTGCTGCCTTTCTCAGGTTTCACAAACTTGATTTTGATATTATTTGTCACAGAAGAGCTTTCATTTTTTTTTATAAAGTAGATCTGACTCCTGGAGCACAGACCTTTAGAAGCTAAGGGTTACTTAGCTAATAAAATTTCCATGATTTTATGGAATCTGAATGTTCTTTAGCACATTCCTAAGAATTTTCTGCTTGCCCACACCCTGAGACATTTTCTATGTGTGTAAATTAGTATACTTTTAAATATTCAAGCTCATTCTGATGAAATATTCTGTGTATTGTTTTGCAATATCTGAACTGTGTGACTTTTTAAAGGATGTGTTAGCTATCTTCATGTCATGATTTTGCCCTGCAATCTGGTGATGAGACAGCAACATATACTTAGTTTTCTCTGCATTTACTTCTAAACCAACATCCTTACTAGTATCAATTAAAGTTTTTGTTTTTCATTATTGTATCTGTTAGACCCCAGAAGATTCACATCATTAGCATAGCAGCTGGTTTGTCCCATTTAATTTTAGTCCCACCTGGTTTTCATGGACCTTCCTAATGGAATATTCTAAAGAAAAATTGAAACCCATTGGCAACGAAACATAAACAACATAAAACATTCACAATAATTATGGCACACAATACACAATACAAATATTGAGGTGGTCCATATTTCAGAAAATAATTTTAAAATAATCAGCTTCCAAATTTCCAAACCACACCTTATGATGTTAGGGATGCTCCTAACTCCTATAAATTTGTTACTGGAATATGATACATAGCTATAAAACTGGTAAAGAACATTGCTTCACAGTGGCCCAACCTAATTATGGTCTTAACTCATGCTATTTTTATCCTACAATCAGCTTTATATCCAACTTAATTTGACTAGAAACAGAAATTGAAAAGTCTCTGATCTCATATTATAGGCCCAAATTTGACTAATTATTCCTTTTTATGAATTATAACCATATTACAGCTAACATTAGTTCTGAGTACTCGTCTTTCAAAATTACCATGACCTGATGTCTTTGCTTACCTATGAAAACTCTTGGAGTAAGTTCAGGGCCAGACTGGGGTGGAATTTCTGGTGGAGATGTGAGTTGTATTGTAGTAGGGATGGGCCTAGACTGAGGTTGGGGAGATGGCCGAACAGGACGATAAGGATATGAAGGTCTTTCTGTAGAAGCTCCTGTGTCAGGGGTTTCAGGTCTCCTTGGTGGGGGAACAAGGTATTCATTATATGCAGAATCCCCAGAGTATACAGGACCCACAGCCTGAACTGTAACAGTCCATGATGCAGCTCTGCCGTAGCCATTATATGCTTGGCATGTATAGGGACCAAGGTTTCTTAAGGTTACAGAACGGATCAAGAGGGAATAATCTCGTCGCTGTTCAAACTGCTCTGAACTTAGTGGCAGCATGCGATCACCACGCCACCAAGTGACAGTTGGAGGAGGCCAGCCCATTGCATAGCACTGTAGTACTGTTGGGGCACCCAGTGTCACCACCACATATGTCTTGTCTTCACCAATCACCTCAGCAGGACGTGAACTAGGCTCTATAAGTATTGTTAGTGACATACATCCATGCAAAACAACACTGTACACCAAACTATCAAGCATATCATGTCCATATGTAAACACAGTTAATCTAAGAGAAGGAGAGTTATTTGTGCATATACTAAGGAAGGATTGGATTCTAAGGCACAGAATTTTATGTTAAATACCATAGTTGTTATTTAACACATGAGTGAGGGAAGAAAATACATGGGGCAAAGGTTGTGGTGTCTGAATGACAGGCTCTCTGATTATGGATTCTTCTGTTATTTTCCACATGCAAGAATTCTTCTCAAAATGTAAAGATGACATACGCTCAAGACACTCATCAAAATCAACAGTGAGCTGAAGAGAAGATGCGTTTTAAATATATCTGAGAGATTATTCTACTGATTATTCATATATATGAAATTTCAGAACAGAAATCAAACACAGAATGTATTTTAGAAGTGGTTAATATTGTTTTAGAACCTCTACGGACACATGTATTTATTTATTTATTTATTTATGGTTTACAAAAGGATGTTCTAAATACTTCAGATTATAGTGTCAAATAATAAGTTGAGAGTGAGTAACAAAATATATATAGGATGTAGAAGTAGCCTAATTTGTGATACCTTCCCAGCTTCTGCCTGGAAGTACTGAGGAAAGCTTCAGAAACCATCAGTATCTGGGATGAGATTTAAACCAAAGAACTTGCAGAATGTGAATTAGATCTCACCCATTCAACCGTGACATGCTGTGTGTAGACATTAAGTGGTATTCTTAATTCGTTAACTGTGCCTTAAGCAACGAAGTATGCTGGCGAGTAAATTGCTTACTAATATGTAAGTAACATGCATGGCCTTTAAACATGTAGTTAGAGAACTTTACAAACTAAATACAAGTGTCTGTAGAGGAATCAGAAATAACAGTTCAATCTATACTACAGGATTTTTTATAAAAAGTCTTATTGCTATGGTTTTTTATTATAGTGATGAGCATACGGAGGTGTCACCAAACGAAAACAAATAACACAGAAAGAGACATTGCAGTATATTAATTAATCTGCATCGGTAACCTTGGATAATCATGTTTAAATAAGGTCTAGTGATAAGAATGACTACTTACTGAGCCATAAAAGAACTCTAAATATAGCTATTCTATACTTATTTGTAGTTGTAGTCAATACTTTACTGATGAAGTATTGGGGGATTCAAAATTATGTATAAATGAGACTACCGCAAAATCTATGTTCACAAAAAGCTCCATTGCAAAGCATGTCCAAATTATTTCTGCATGGCACACATTCAGCCCACAAAGATTTGGGGAGGGTCAGAAATCACTTATAAATTTATCATAACCATCACATGCTGCTATCCATTGAAGACTAAGATATGATCATTTTGAAACTGGAACATCAGAATGAACCAGTGCTTTATGAAATAATAACTTCTTGGACAAAAGATTTTGTAGCCATGTTAAATGTTTCTGGAAAAGCTCTGAGTGCTACAGTGTGGTAAAGAACCTTATATTCTGTTTTTTTTTTCTGGTGGCAGACACCCATATACATGCTGGAAAACAGTTAATGCTTACTGGTAAACTAGTCATGAGTAAAAAGGTGTACATGTGCAAGTGCATTTATTTTCAATCTTGAGGCTAAAACCTAGGTGACAGTATCAACAAACATGCTTTTAGAAAAAACTATTACTTATGTCTATATCCTACCACAGAACACAAGTGGTTAATATTGTTAAACTATCATGGACTTCATGCTAGTTACAACATGGTCATGCATATGTACAATGTTACATTTCACTACTTTAATAGTTATGTATGTTATGGGTAGTGAGCTGTGTTTTGAATTGGGTATCTGCAGCTCTACGTGCTTACCTGTGACATCTAACTGAAATTCTCTTTGTATTGGCTGTGCAATACCATTATCTGCTGTGCAGATATAAACACCGGCATCCTTACGATATAAACTAATTATCTGCAGAGATCCATCCAGCAGTAATTTATGCCTTCCAGAACCATCAATCTGTAGACAAATATTAACACAATTGGAATGGGACAAAGTTATTGCTACTAGCATCAGAATCCATGTTTACCAAAGTGCCAGATTACACATTTCCTGACCACAATTATATAAAATCATATTAACCTTTACTGGTCATGTGTTGAACTATAGTAATAGCACATGCATGAAATCAAAGTGTCACATTTTTTTCAACAGTGATAACACTGTGTAAGGTTTAAGGTTTTCACAGTGGTGACTATGAAGAAAACTGTCTTCTGGGATGTGGCGCCACGTATAAATTGTGTTAACTGACGTTTCGGAGTAACGTATCACCTCCATCTTCAGGGTAGAAGACAAGAAGAAATCCGTGAGTGAACCAGCTAGAGCAGGTGCAACAGACTGAGTCCAGTCGAGTAAACACAGCTGTATAAGAGGAGGAGGAAAGTGAGAGTGGCTACATGGGGAAACAGTAGAGAGGGGGAGGGGAAGGGACTGGTGGAATAGCCAGCAGGTAGTGGGCCAGAGCTGGTATAGAGTATGTGTTAGGGGGAGAGAAGGGAAGGTTAAATGGAGGCCATTAACCCTGTAGCTCAGGGACCCTCCATTTAACTTTCTTTTCTCTCCCCTTAACACATACTCCATACCAGCTCTGGCCTACTACCTGCTGGCTATTCCACCAGTCCCTTCCCCTCCCCCTCTCTACTGTTTCCCTATGTAGCCACTCTCACTTTCCTCCTCCTCTTATACAGCTGCGTTTACTCGACTGGACTCAGTCTGTTGCACCTGCTCTAGCTGGTTCACTCACGGATTTCTTCTTGTCTTCTACCCTGAAGATGGAGGTGATACGTTACTCCGAAACGTCAGTTAACACAATTTATACNTAATTGTTTCATGGCCTGGTTGGGGATATCTCTTTAAAACCGAAACTATTAGGTTCATTGTGAGAGTTTCTAATATATAAGTTCTTTCTCTGAACTAATTAGTATCATTTTAGTCCTCATCTGGCCTGCAACATACACTTTCTCACCCAGTACTACATAAAGCAAAGCTAAGAGGTACAGATATTTTATATCTCTCACTTTCAAATTAGAAAGGACTCCCAACTGTCTGTGAACTTCACAAATATGTATGGTTTAAAGCCAGTTAAGTACTGCAATGAACAAGTGAAATGGTAACCCCAACTGATCACTATGGTCTTGAAGTTTTGTTTTGGACTCAAATTATATAAAATTGTAAAAATATTAAACATCACAAAATTCTGTTAATACCAGAAACATTCATAATTGTTTCAAATTTTAAATTTGGGTTTCTGTGTAAAGTAGTGGTTCAAATTGTCTAGCATAGAGCAAAATTAAATTTCATAAAAATCACTTCAGCATTACAAAATTCTTCATGTGTACGGATGAACAATAATAACAAAGTAGTTACTGAGATTAAAAATTTGCAATTTGACCAAATGTATAAAAATATTTAGAGCCTGAAATTAAAACTATTCATACATCCTGTAGCAAGAAGGGTTGAACATACCAGAACTCCTTCCCTCCTCCATGTGATTGTTGGAGGTGGTCTACCTCTTGCTATGCAAGGCAATGTCACATAATTCCCTTCCTCAGCACGCACATGAGGCTCTGTTTCTGTTTCCTCAAACGTTGGAGGTTCATCTGAAAATGTAAGGCCTCAGTTTCAATTTCAATTCATCAATTTTCAGTTTAAATTAGAATTTGTGCTGGGCCTACCTTGCTACTACATCAAACACCAACTGATGTACATTGAGAGCTGCATGTCATTCCTCATACTAACCTCCTGGTTCACCATAAGACTCTGGTGGTAAGCGTGGTGCTTCTGTGGTTATGTGCTCAGCCAACACAGGGTTCAAACAAGAAGAGACACAGCCACTGAAGCAGCACTTGGTATCTCCTGTACAATCTGCATCTGATTGGCACTCCTGAATGCAAGTTCCATCACTGACTGCAAATCTGGGACAATGTCCAGGTTTGTTTGCTACAAGTTCAAAGAGACGAGAGTTAACTAAGCTGAAGCTGCCATGCCCAGTAGTACTCAAGTATATTCAAATGTTCTGCAATCAGCAGATAATAAACTGTTCTGTTCTGCTAAGATCAAGTACTTGTAATAATTATCATGAATGGAATGACATCATTAAGGCCAATTATCTGGTACAGTGCCAGCACTAATAACAACATTTATAGTTTAAGACAGTCAACAAAGATAAACGGTCATAGTAACTTCTAAATATGAAAGAGATGTCATCATCCTCATCATCACTGTCACGACAGCCCTTTGTGAGCCCTGGCCTTCCTCAGGACTGCTCGCCATTCTTCTCTATTCGATGCTACATTCCTCCAGTTCTTTACACCCAAAATTCTTATGTCCTGCCACACACATTCTTCCCATTTTAACCTTGGTGAAACAGATGTATCTAACAACAATTTTCTGTGTGTACTGTTAACTTACTTGGTCTGCAGACTCCTCTGAACTCTGTCTCTCCTGTTTGTGAATTCTGATACAGGTCAACAGCACATCTCGTTTCATCAGGACAGGAGTAATCCTTGCAAGGATCATGGCATTGACATGTCTCACAGTCATCAGAATCCACAGATCGCTCCACACCATAAGGACAATGTAACACTTTGCATTTCAATATAGCATCTCGGCATTTGTCTTCACTAGGCTTCTCTGGACCAGAGTCTACATCAATCTCATTAGCTGGAAAATATTACATATTGTTGTTATTGGAGGGGGTGGGTTTCCCCATGCACTGCGACCAGTTTGATCTATTGTGCGTCCCCCTATGATCTTCTACCAGCCTCTATACCCTACTGGTACTGGTGCTTACCATCAGTCCCTACTCAGCCAGCGAGGTCTGCCTCTACTGGCTCAGAGGTATCGCGATGCTTCCCCCATCTACCAGAGGCGTTAGAGACTACTGTTGGGCAGGAAATGTCCTTAATTTAGCTCAGTGGCCTCCTTTGGAGACATGAGGTTCTTTTATGTGCCGTAAAGCTACGACATGGGACCCACAGCTTAAAGTCCCTCCTGGAGGACTTGTTCCCTGAATTTTTCCGCCCTTAAAAATACCATGACCTCCGCCGGGTTTGAATCCGCGTACCTTGAGTCATGAGGTGGGAACATTACCCCTAGACTACGGAGGCCGCTTATATTACATATTACTAAAGCCATTACTTATTGATGAACACAAGCATATATGTCTTTGCTGCACTAAATTACTTAAAGCTGTTGGAAATGAATGGCAATACAGATATCACAGTGCAAGGACCCAGAAATGTGAGCAGGTAAACCTCAGGAGGAGGATATGGAATTGCTATACAGTATCATATATTAAAGGTCAATGATGACTATATATATGTGGTTAACTATGGCAAGAGGGATCATAAATTTACAAGTAAAATCATTAAGGAAGTAGCCAAAGTTTCCATACCATATTAAACCAAAACTTATATCCCATTTTAATGGAAACTTAGCATCCTAGAATTAAGCATTTGAATTCTAGCATTTTACACCTTCATCATCTCTTCCAAGAACAACTGTTATGGATTTATTCTTTTAAATATTTCTTATAATTATCTGATATTTGTTAATTTCTGTACTTTAGTGGGGAAAATAAACAAATAGGGAGACTCACTTTTCAGCCTACTTTCCTTATTGTAAGCATGTTCCCTACCAGTAATTTCTGATTCAACTGAAAGATTTTTTATAAAATTTTGTATGAAACTCATGCTATTAAGAGCACAATTTTATACTTCTTTTTTTTTCTACCATCAATAATATCAACATACGAGCCTCACAAAGTCATGAGGTAGAGGTAACACTAATGTCATTATTAGTATACTAATGTAGGAGGATGAAACATTGTGTGGTTACAGACTTTAAACAAATATGAAAGTTTTGTAAAGGAAATTTTTGTTGAGGATATAAAACAAAATGGTGGCTGCACAAAATCTATATTGGTCTTATGGTTTAGCAATGATAATTACTGAACATCTGGAACTGAGATATGGAATATTTTATAGAGGTAGGGCATAATCATATCTATAAATTCTGTGTCAAGCACTTTAATGTTAACAACTGCAAATAGAAGAGTGGCATGAAACTTCTGAGAGTCTGTTGGGTTATAGTCATACAGATGGAATTTTTGCAAGTGAAAATGATGTACAGAAATGGATCTCAAGGCTATATAATTAATTTACAACACATATAAGTTGAAATATCAAAGGAAGGCGATGGGAATTTCTTGCTGTCCCAACCATACATATTAAAACAAATGAAAGAAAGAAGGTACCATAAGTTCTTCTTAAACTTTTTATTTAGTGCAAATTTTGGAAGCGTACTTCCATTATACTAAAAGAAAGTGTAGCAAAAAGCAAGCAGTTGCATATGAATAAAGAAAGGCTATTCATATAAATATAAATAATTATATTAAAATGTTGTACAAAGATGATTAATAAAATGTGTAGGAAACACTGGACAAGAATAAAGGCTTCTTATGACACATAGGGAGCATGTCCATCATTGTTACATAAGCTTTCTTACTACTGATGTCCCCTGCTTTGTCCCAGATTACTTTTCTGTCATACATATTATTAACATGTTAACACTCAAAAGTTTTCTACTATGGTAACCCCAAATTGCGTAATTTCAGAGCTTTAATCTCAATATTACATTATATAAAAGGACTGGTGACTTAGGTTTTATTCTTGTACATCCTCTGAAACTTTCAAATACTTATACAGCTTTAAGTTTCACAATTTAAGCAATAACTTATTGAATTCATAATAGTGGCTGTCTTCTCACAGTGTTGACAAGTAACATGACTTGCTGTCAATGATGGACATACAGACAGAATCATTACCCAATGGCTGCTTTCCATATGTAATTTGCATTTGTAAGAATGCAATAATTTTGTAGGCAGATACAAACACAATTATTTGTCAACGGGCATACAATACAAGGTCTGACAAAGTTCGCGAACTCGCCACCATGTGCTTGCCATGGCAGCAGTGGACAGAAACCTCAGTATGGTTTGATGGCATTGGCATATCAAGATTTCACAGCTGTGCTGTTGTTGATCTATGGCAGTGTCTTTCTGAGTGGTGTGTAATATTGTCTGAGTGTGTTTTGGTATGCTGTAAGGAGAATGGCAGAGCTTGAATTAGAGCAAAGAACGAACATTAAGTTTCTTGTTGAACTTGGCAAGAGTGGAAGTGAAATCACAGAGATGTTACTGCAAGTTTATGGGAATAATGCTATGAAGAAAGTAGCAGTTTACAAATAGGTGACACGTTTTTCTGAGGGAACAGAAAGTGTCACTGATGAAGAGAGATCAGGATGGCCAGCAATAAGCAGAACTGAAGAAAACATCAAAAAAGTTCATCAAATTGTGCATGAAAATCGTTAGCTGACTGTAAGGAGCATAGTAGAGCAAGCGAACATTGACAGAGAAACAGAAAAATCTTAACTGAAGATCCTGACGTGAGGAAGGTGTGTGCAAAAATGGTCCCAAAGGACCTGCTCACATGGCACTGTATGTACCCACTCCCCCATGTTTTCACTATGTAATTCTTAATTAAGCGCAGGGACACCTTTACACTTTAGTGGATCTGGTATTCTCAACAATGAAAATTTCATTTGTTGCAAATGTTATGTTGTTAATGGAAGAAAAAATCCAGTTCCAGGTTCAAAATCCAGTTTGTTCAATAGATTTTAAATTGGGTACCACATAAATTTGCATTAGGATGTTGTAGTTCATTAGCTGAAAGAGGACACAGCAGAATTTCATCTCTGTTGAAAACACTGATGGGTAAAATATCTCATTTGCATGAGTTTTTATTGAATCTCATTTTACAAGAATTAAGCAGTGGTTGAAGGAGCAAACATCAAATACTGACAGACTGATGTCACTCAGAATAAGATTTGCATGACGTTTTCTAGCACAGACTTCCAACACCATATTTTGTCAAAATCTACACTCTGAGAACCAAGCTGTTGCAAATGAACAGACAGACAGACAGACAGAAAGACAGATAAATGTGAGAGAGATGCAATACAGTTTTTGTAAATGTAACTAAAAACAAGCAGCAATGACTTGATAACAAATCTGGCATGTAAAGAACGCAACAGAAACAACAGCAGGATGATGGACAGGTCTAAAATAAGATAACAGGATATAAAGAAAAATATATTAACATCTTCTCTTAATATATTTTATACTCATAAGCACTGCAGATATTTGATAGTACTCTTATAAGATTTTAAGTAATCTACTTCAATTTTTGTACAATAGGCTGCCTGAGATATGCCTTATCTATGCATTTCCAAAGTGGTTTCACGACTTATGCATCATCAAAAGACTGACACAGAGGGATAAGAAAAATTATTCAACGCATAAATGTGGTTTGATAAGAGAGAATCTGCAGAAGATGTAAAACATTTCATGCTAACAGGTTTTATTAATTATTAGAAAGCAAAGTGGTGCAAAATGAGGCTGCTGGTGCATGTGATGGTGCATGAAGTATAGCAACCTCACACTTACGTCGCACATCAGTTACACTGGGCTCTCCATACCCTTCTTGCAAGACTACAGAGCAAAATTTGAGACAAGATTGGAAGTTCTTGAATCGGTTGCGATTTCCAGCACAACCAGTGTAGATAAAAGGAATGCAAGTCCGTCGATCCTCATCAAAATACCACCTCTTATAGTAGCCACCTGAACATGGGCCGGTGTCTACAGGCAGCCGACATACAGCTAAGAAAGGATGAGGGGATGAACATATTGTTAATTGTGTTAAATTATATTAGTAATACATTCAATGGTCCTTCCTTTAAGTCAGTAGCTTACCGGATCAATATATTGTTTATATACCACAACAGCTTAATCACTTTACAAGAAAACTTTGAACAAACACAGGAACTACAGAACACATAAAGAGAAAATTATTTTCAATTATGTCACTTTCTCTTTTCCTACAAGACAAATCATCATCAGAAACAAGCATGCATAAACATCATTATACACTGTATCTAGTGGATGACTGTTTTCTTCAGTTTGTTACATTAGCCTGACATGTAATAACTGAATATATGAAAAGTTTGCTCCAACACCAATTATATCTCATTTTTCTGTGTATGATAATGATAATAATTTATATATCTAATTTTTTATATTAAAATTTTTGTTGCTCTAAAAATATGGCCTCCACAATTAGTAAATATTACTAAGAACTTCTTAAAACTTACTCTTCCATTAATAACTTTTTACTGTACATTCCTTTTCATATTATTAAACATAATGTGCAGGAACTGTATCAAATTTAGTTTCTCTGCACTCAAGGCGCTTATTTATGCCTGAGAAATATAAACCCATTACCTTTTTGCTTATTCATGGAGTGGCATTGGACCAAGCCCCCTGGCAGTGAAGGGGCAAATGAGCCTCATAAGGTGGATGACAGAAAGAAGGACTGGCAGGGAAAAACTGGGTCAGAGAAAAACCTGTTCCCAGTGCCACTTTGCCCACCACAAACCCCACATTAACTACCCTGAGCTGAACTTGTGCCTCAGCGGTCAGAAATCATCAGCTAACTGTCCGATGTAGGGCATGACAAATATAAACATAACAGACTCTGTGCTTGTTTAAATTGACCATTTGAAAACAGCCTTCAACAGTCAAGAGAAATATAATAATAAATCAGACTGTTTAAAGAAAGTAAGCATGATAGTCTGTTTCACTCTGTCTTATTACTGCTGTACTTTACTCTTCCATAACAATGTGAAAGTGACAAGTGAAGTTGTAGCAATCAGACTCAGACAAATGCAGTGCCATTATCTAGGCCCTCCTGGAAAGAAGTGGAATTAAATCCTACTAATCCGTCCCTACTATGAGGGTTGGAACTTTAATAGTGGCAACTAATTATTTACAACTGATACAAAATAGACGCATGTTTCGAAGTTTTACTGTCCTTCCATGTAGTCACCAGCATTGTGCATAACCCATTGCCAGCGATGTGGAAGTCGTAGGATACCTTTAGCAGTGATGTTGTGTTGATAGTTCAAATGGAGCAGTCTACTGCCTGAAGAATCTCTGGAACAGTTCTGAAGCAAATGCCATGAAGTGGTTCCTTCAGCTTAGGAATCAAGTCGAAGTCACAAGGGCTAGAGTCCGGGGAGTATGGTGGATGGTACAGCACTTCCCAGCCCCATCAATCGAACAAATCAGCCACAGCTCGCGCTGCATGCGGCAGAGCATTGCCCTGCAAGATGATGGGTGGGTTCTGCAGAAAGTGTCACCACTTCTTTCTCAAAGCTGGCCGCAGGTTGTGTTCCAAAAATAAACAGTAATACTGTGCACTGATGGTCTGCTGTCGGGGAATGGTATGCGTTAGGATAACACCATCACAGTCATACACGAGAATCAGAATAACTTTCACACTGCTGGGGTTCTGACGAACTTTTGATTTTCGTGGTGACCCGTAATGACGCCATTTGTTCGATTGATGTTTCATTTGTGGCTTGCACAATTTGGCCCATGTCTCATCCAGCGTAATGATACGGCATAAGAAAGCCTCTCCTTCGCGCTCACAGTGCTCCAAGTGGTTACAAGCAGCATCGTATCGTAGCCATTTCTATATTTCCGTCAAATCATGCAGAACCCATCGTGATGCAATTTTTCCCATACCCAGACGTTCCTTCAGAATGTGAAACAGAGTCGTATGTACTAATCCTGTCTCTCGGGCCAGCTCACGAATCATATGGCATCTATCACTCTCCAGTAATGTGGAAAGAGCACACACTTCTTCTTCACTGACACTAGGATAACCTGGCCGACACATGTCTGTCACATTTTGGTGTCCCTTGTTGAAGGCTTTTTACCCACCTTGCCACTGTTGTGTAAGGCAATGCAGATTCCCCGCAAGCCTCTTGAAGACCATGATGACACTGTCGTGCTGTATGGCCTCTGGCACATTCAGTCTTTATCCAACTCCACTGTTCTTGTTTCGAAAACATCGTGACAACACTACATTAGACTGCCAGCTAACACGAGGCTCTGTTCTTCTCGTCACTGTGCATGCACGTGATGTGGGAAGGGAGAGTCCATTTGCTCTGAGGTAAGGTAGGTATGTAACTAACGTGTGGTATAAGCGACATTATTTGGTCCCATTGCATGGCGTTTCTATAGCAGTGTTGCCACTATTAAAGTTCCAACCCTCGTATGAACAGTGATGTGTTTAATACTGTAGTGTGTACAGCCCTTGCTATGCAATAGGTGAACAAACAACAGTGTCATACAACCTGTTGCTAGGCAATGGATTCGTAAACACATTCCCACGGCAACAAATACCCACACAAGAACAGAGTTATTGTTGCAAACAGTGTTTTCTACTCAGTCCGTGCAAAGTGTTTTTAAGGAACACAACTGGGACAACCCAGTTAGTTGTCAATTGTCAGCTGAGAGTTGAGTGCTACAAGGGAGGCTGTGAAGATGGGACCTGAGCACAGGAAGCTGAAGAATCTCCACTGTTAGAAGCCATTGCTAGGGAATGGCTGTTGGAAACACTGCAGGCTGGAGAAAACTTAGAGTGTAGTGATTTATAAATGTGGAGATCAGTGATAGCACTGTAATTACTTGCAGTTGTAAGTGGTGTGTGTAAGTTGTCAATAAATCCATTCACCAATCCAAACCCCATCCATAGTCACCCCCTAAATCGTGACAATATCTTGTAGTTCTAATATAACACATACAGACAAATAATGTCATAATTCCTGTGTTCATGTCAAAATTATTTTTAAGACTGAAGCCTCACTGTCACAAACATGCAGTTAGTACACCACAAACTACATTTAGGAGAGAGTAAAATAATATTCCGTTTCATTATATATATGCAATGTATATGTTTTATTATTTAATTGCAATAGCCTGCAAAGAAATAATAATTTCTGCATATTCACATTATGTGCAAGGCATGCAGAATATGGCATTTGTGTAACGCCAAATTTCATTTTCTGTTATAATACACCTCTACTAAATGACAGTCATTAAAATTCACTTCTAGATTCCTACATTTATAAAATATTAATACATTAGCAAATGATACTTGGAGCAACTGGAAATAAAACGAATGCAGGAACACTAACTAAATGCTTGCACAGACTGTATATTGACCTGAAAACCTGACTTCAAGCAAGTTAGTATCAATAACAAAATAACTAATTAACTAATAAAATAATATATTGCAAAATAACTGACTGATTAACTGACTGACTGACTCACTCACTCACTCACTGTCTGACAGACTGACTTACTGACCAACTAACTGACTAAATAACTAATTAGCTAACCAACCAAGTAATTAACTCTTTGAGCCATATTTTGTGTTTCTATACACACTAGCATTTAAAAACAAACATGATTATATATAAAATACAGAAGTATTTAAAATTGTGATGAATCTCAATTTTACCCTTAGTAAGTTCCATAACAGTACAGTACAAGAAAAATTAGTGCTTTATTTTCACGGAAATTTTATGTTCTCACAGCAATGAATATGAAGATCACAGTCTTCTTGAATGTGACACCATGTACTTTGGTACGCTACGAAGGAGACATTACGTCTCAGCAGCCTGTAATCTTTATCATCATTGTTCTAGTTTTGAAATGGAAACATACAAAACATAGAAATTGGTACCTTGGTGAGATAAAGTTGTGTCATTGCCACGAGGAAACAATTCTTCACGATGAAGACAGATGGTTTCACACTCCTCCAGAGAACTAAAGCGATTGCCATTGCCACCACAGCCTCCATACAAAAATTGTTGGCAACCACCAACCGAAGGATTATAGTACCATTTTTGGAAATATCCTCGGCAAGGGCCACTTTCATAGGGAACATTGCATACATCTGCACATATAAGAGTAGCATGAAAGTAAATTAATGTAGCATTCTGATCGCATTCAGCTTCCTAATCAAATGTAAGCAACAATTTTATGAAGATACCATTCATCTGAATGTTACTTGTATTAAGCATAAGTAATATGGGCCCTTTACTGACGAGAATAAATCACATAAATTAGTTTGCCTCAGCAAGCACATCTTGTAAAACTTGGAGAAAGTGGATATGAATGTGAATTAGTTTGTCTCAGCAAGTATGCTTTAAAAAACATGAAGAAGTTTCTTCTTTTTATTTTGGGATTTCTGATTACAAAATTAGAATAGACCCCTGACTGAATGCTAATTACAATTATTAAAAAACACTTCAGTTGGATGAACATCTCATTTTAAATAGGGACTAATTATTTTGAAATTAATTCTACATGATTTGTAAGAGACTAGGCAAATGAATAAAAATACACATACAAATATTATTTTAACCCTTACACTGTTAGATTCTTAATAAATAGCTGACATGAGATACATGAGACTCAGATGTGTACACAGGTACTGGCTAATTCCATAAGAGGGGTAAAGGCTCTGTCCTTTCTGCTGGGATATATGCCAGGTAGTTCAGCAGAAGTCCACCAGCATTGTGGAAGAACACTGGTGGATTTCTGCTGGAATACACTGCATTATACCCCAGAAGATAGTATTCCTATGATCACCATTGTGTTGCCCTCAAATCCAGCATACTTTATACTGACCATTTTTATACATTTCAACCTACTGATAAAAAAAAAAGTAAAGCTATCCCTGTAACAGGCCGTGAAGGCCCATAGGGTTGCGAGACGTTGAGGTACCACATAACCTTGACAATCGGCTCAAAGATGGTGGTAAGGTTTTCACTCCCCAGGAAAATCTTTTTTTTTTAATTAATTCCTGGTATGAATTTCTGTTAGAGGCTTTGTAAACCCCAGGGCCTAGTGCGGCCGGAAAGATTAGGTCAATTGAAAAATATCCCAGGACCTCATTGGGACTTGAACCCGCGACCTTCCGGCTTGTAGCTTAGTACCTTAACCACTACAATACCGTGTACCCCCTCAATCTAATGATGAGGAAGGTAAAAATAAATTTATGTAATAAAACAACAGTATGTTTGATTTCAATATGCTCATTATTCTATAGTTCTAATTAAATATATGTAATCACATAAAAATCACTATATAAGAGGTTTTCATAGTGATGTGTGTTTAGATTATCATGTTCTGGCTTATGACACCATGTGGCGATTTGAAGGAACACGCTGCCTCCATCCTCAGAGTAGAACAAGTAAGACTGCATAATGTCAAAGGAAAGAAAACCATAATCTGAAAATGAAAATCAGTTTACAATTCCACTTTTATGGGTGCAGTCGGGCCCCAGATCCCACAAGGAAAAAGGATAGTTCCCTCCTTGAGATTCTACACTTCTGTGTGAGAAGAAATGGTAGAAATATGTATTCCAACTGTAAATAAATGTATTTCCCAAATATTTCCTCTTTTTAATCCGGATCCCTGACAGATCTTAACGTTATTTTTTCTAGATATAAATCTATTTATTCAAAACACTACAGACAACTTACTTAGTAGTAGTTCTTTGTATTTCATCAAATATACATTACTTAAAAAATGTTTAATAATCAAGGGTGGAAGTGGTTTTTCTGAATGAACAGATGCTCCAGAGAAGAATTACATAAATGCTTCAGATGAGTAGAAAAGCCCAGGGGAATGACTAACATATATTAAAAGGAAATTGTTGCAATGCAGGCTTCTGAATTCATTCATACATGTACTGTTACTGGGAGTGATATTTACGTATCTTAAGGCAATGAAAACTGTTTTTATAAAAAGAAGCTTCCTGGAACTGAGTAACAGCATTTACCTGTGTCTGCTCCCATATTTAGTCCTTCTTCTAATATAAAAAAAAAGTGAAAGTATCCCTGGAACAGGCCGTGAAGGCCCGTAGTGTTGTGAAATGTTGACGTTCCCACATTTTCTAGGCAATCGGATCATAGATGGCGGCAAGGTTGTCAGCTCTACGTGCCAGCCACCCTTTACTCCCAAGAATATTCCTGGTACTCATTTCTGTTAGAGGCTGAGTCAACCCCAGGGCCACAGTGCGGCTGGAAGGATTAGATCAATTGAAAAAAATCCAATGACCTCATCAGGACTTGAACCCGTGACCTTCCAGCTTGTAGCATCTTCTAATATTAATTTAACTCAAATTTGCTGAACTATTAGAGATGAAATATGTGCAACCCCCACATATGCTTTCATTCTATGCTCTTTATGCAAAGAATGCATAAGAACATTAGGCATCTCTTAAATTCAGAAAGAAATACCATTAGAATATATGTATTATAACACATACCATGCAACATTTTTCTGCTGTTTACTCATGGCCTTATCTAGCATCAAATGATTTTAATTTGTGTATTGCGTCTGCATATATTATGTATTAAAATCACAATGGTTATTTAGTCTCATAAACAAATTAAAAAATTATCTTTATGTAATATTATTTAATATTACCATCGTTAATTAGTTACTTGTACAACCGAATATCAGAGTACTTCTGTTTCCCTTGCAAATTCTCTTTCCTTCATTTATCATCCCATCGTCGATGCTATAGTCTCAATACGGACAGCAATGTCATTAAATAAAAAACTTAAATAAACACCCAAATACATTTATAAACATAACAACAATACCAACCCTGGCCTTTGAAACTTCCACAGTGCCTCTCACATTGTTCTTCAGACTCAAATCTGTTGGCATTTCCACCACAACCACCATATATGAAGGCCTGGCATGCACCTGTGTTTCTGTCGTAGTACCAGGCAGCATGTTCTTCTTGACATGGCCCTGTGTCCACAGGTGTACTACAGATATCCGTGATAAACAGTGGTGCCTGTGTTGTGAGAATCAGTGTATCTGGGACCAGAGCTGCAGCAGTGCTGCCTGTGATTACTTTACAGTACTCTTCACACTGCTGGCGATCATTGAAGCGATTTGCATTTCCTTGGCAACCTCCATAATCGAACTCATAACAGGCGTCTGTACTGCGATCATAATACCATTGCGGCATGCTGCCACTACAAGGACCCACCACTCGAGGCAAATCACAAGCATCTGTGTGAATATTAAGCATTAATTAGAAATTAGAAGCTACTTCTTCTTGCTTATTATCTCAGTTCAGTCAGTTTCATATAATTCTGCTATGTGATTCTTATGAAGGACCATGAGATGAAAATAAGAAAGATGTTAATTTCATTAAGGAATTATTTTGAGTGACAGGATCAAATAGCTAACGGAGCTTGGGTGACAATATTTTGTCTTATCTAGTAATGATCTAAGAGAGATGTTTGGGTCAGAACACTTTATGTTGCCTAGTAATGATCAAAGAAAGAAGCCTGAGTCAAAATACAGTGTCCTGCATAGGAATGATCTAAGAGATGATGTCATTGGAGAAGGGAGGATTCAACATAACAAAGAATTATGTGATCCATACAGGTAACCCAATATTGTGAGGATACTTAAGTGAAGATGACATACTGATCACCTCACCTGGATCACCAAGAAATGCATATGAAATTTTGCAAAGGAAACTCTTTGAAAATAAACATACAAGAAGACTGAGAGGCATATGAGGGAGGATTAAACTAACATGGATATTGAGGATACTCAGGAAACAGGTTATGGGCATAGAAGGTGGAGTGGATTGGTTCAGTATCATGATTATAATGGGATCTGGTGTTGGTATCATTGGACATTTGGTTTCTATTACCAGGCTGTTAGAAGCTGAAATGCTTCACCACTGACAGTTTCAGAGCAGACATTATGCAGCATTCCACATCATTACAGTAGAACCAAAATGAAATATTTATTTCAGCTTAAAATATTGCATAAATATTGGTCTCTGTTTCTGAAGGATCACAGAAATAAAATTTTGATCTGGTAAAATATAGGTTAGAAGAATTATCTGCACAATTACTGTGCTTACAATTAAATTAATTACGTACAGTTTCATAACATTAGCTTTTCTAAGCAAAACTGTTCATAAATCAGTAAAGAAATATCAGATACATAAAGAAGTCTGCTAATTTGATTCACCATACTATTAGCACATTTGCATTACGTAGCTTTGTGCTTCTCTGCCTGCATTAGCTGGCCATTTTGTATGAGAATCAACATACAGTGCAGTGTGTTATCCCATAAATTAAATAAATACTAGTGTTACTTTCATATTCACATATTGAACTAAGAACTGAAGGACTGTGCTGAAATGTGTAGCAGTATATTTCTCATTAAACACACCATATGGCACACAAGCAACCATGTCTTATTGGGGGGGGGGAGATAAAATCTGGAACCAGGCAGTAAAACCGTTCATCATCCTTGGCCTCATATGAGACCAACCAAAGCAGGAAACTAAATTTATGCAATGAATGTGTTGGATTACTGTTATAAGAAAACCTCATCAAACATTGCAGCAAGTGATTAGTACTCCTGTTTCATATTTGAAAGGTATTGGATTAATATTTCAGGCCAAATACTGGTTATCCTAAGTGAGGGTTTTCAAGGTCTTCTTCAGACTCTGTGCAAAACTCCAGGATAGTACTTACATTACGATAGAAGCATTTTTTTCCTAAATCTTTACTAATCATCTTATGTGATACTACACAACCGGAGCAACTGAAAGCATTGTCAAATTAACCAAGAATATATGTATAAATTAACTACAAATATTTAATCAATAACATCATACCTTGCACACTACCACATCTTTGTTCACATTCTTCCCTTGTTGAGAACTGGTTCTTATTTCCTTGACAGCCTCCATAAAGGAACTGCTTGCACACTCCATCACGACTATCATAGAACCATTTGGCCAGTGACTCAGAACAGGGCCCATGATCATCATGGAGGAAACACCATTCTAAAACGTCACAAATGACTATTGAAACAAATACTGAACAAACATATATAATCTAGAATGGTTTTTCAGTTGAGACAGAATATAATACCTCAAAAGTACTAAAATCCTACTTGCATATCTAAAACTTTCGAAAGTAATATAAAACATGCTCCTATGAATACTACAAATCTTAGCAAACAAACGTCTGAATTTCTAAAATGTGTGCAATAGCCTGCAACTCATAATTATAATTTTACATGATGGGTGGAGTGATTAAGCAGATCCAGGGGTAAAACACAACAGACAAATTAGCCCAGAGTGCTCATGTGATTTTCATGAAATTCTACTTCATAATCTAGCATTTAGTGGTGCTCAGAATATTTATGGACTGTTGAATTACTGACCCACATTTTGCTACTCTTCATTGCTTACACTTTATATAGAACATGCAGTTATCCAAAGCAAAGATATATTAAGACATGAACATTTTCTGGACAATGTTGATTAGTAGATGAACACAAATAAGTTAATTCTAAAGACCTATAATTACTGAATATTATTAGTAGAAGGTGATTTAAGGTTTTCACTGCAGTGAAAATTTAGGGTGTAGTTATCTGGATTATAAAACCTTGCAGTCTTACAGGTGGGTTACCAATGGTTTGGAGAAATGAGTACTTGCATCTTCCCTGATGATGGAAGGACCAGGTTTCTATAAAATGATGGAATCACATGAGATTACATGGTATTCTAACCCAGAAGGTTACACCCAAAATGATTAGAAGTACTGATGTGGAAAGAAAAATGACAAATTTACGATTTTAACAAGTCTAAACACAGAACTGAGTAAATGTCATGCAAAGTGTCACTTGTCAAATGTCTCTAAGCTGTATTAAATAATACAGCATTTATATGTAACATATGAGGCCCGTAATATGGTACATTTTTCCACTCAACAACTACAAGATCCATGTTTCTTGGCCATCACAGTTGAGCAGCAACATGTCATTGTCAAAATCTGTCCATATGTAGTGCTCATTATTCTTTGAGTTATATGAGTTCTGATCAATTACTCCCACATGCCAAGAATCTCACCTGCCCTGAACTCTTCTTCAGGTTCTGGCGTGCTGTATCCACTTTCACAGCGTCGCTGACAGTCTTGCATTGTGGGGAAGTTGTTTTGGTTGCCACCACAGCCGCCATAGTAGAATGGTGTACACCGCACATGATACGAGTCATAGTACCACCGCTCTGTATAGTTGTGGCACTCCCCAGATGCAGCAGGCAGTAAGCATAAATCTTGTTCTGCAAGAATAGTGGAACAAATTACAAATTGTATACATCAGCTGAGATTTCTAAAAAGAAATGTTCACTTACTAGTAGAATTCATGTACTGCATTTACTCATATAATTATTCCACTTTACTAAAATTTTCTTACATTAAAATAAAGGTGGAGTGACTGTGTAGTTTTCCCCTTATAATATAAATGTGGTCATATAATAATAATGTGTAGTAAGAATGGAAATTTAAAATATTTATGACATTTTTCTGTATAAATTTTTACACAAAATGAGAATTTTTTTTTCTCAGAACTTGATAAAGTCTTCTAATTCTGTATTTTCTCTGCCATACAGGTGTTATCACATTGGTGGAAAAATGCTTCCTGCAATTTAATCAAGTAATTCTGACACAGCCTTATGGTATGTAATGTACAATGTTGCCTTGATAATGAATGTTTTCTTTCCATTATTTATTGGATTCTGACAGTGGCAAATGTGAAGTTTTCATTACTTGAAATATTGCTATGAATATTTCTATTGCCTTTATTCCTCTCACAGTCATTAAGAAAGGAAGAGTGAAGAGCAACAATGTCTGGTCTAGAAAACCGAAATTAACAGCCATGGGGATTTGTTGCGCTGACCAGGCAACACCATCTATCTGCTAAAGTTGGCACTAACTTTGCCAATAAGTGGCAGTTGCTCAGTTGGTATAGTTTGCCTGAAGACTAAAACCACAGAGTTTGTTTGTTTCGTTTGATGAACAACAATGCATACTGGAGGCTGCAGCAGCTACAGGCAATGAAGACAACCACAATCATTCTAGAAAATTTAAGTGTGTTGTTTTGACACATAATAACCTGATTTCACCAGTAACTTGTTCCACTACAAAAAAGAAGTTAATTATATGTGTCTCTTGTAGCCACAACATTCTTTATACAAAGTTAATCACAGGCTAATTTTAGCATATAATCAGACCTATTTGTTTGGAATGGGATAGAGAACTGAAGGGAGATGACAGCATAAACAGTGACAAACATTATGTCAAAGTAATGAAGAGGGAATTATGTGGTACAAACAATTATATTATCATTTCACAATTCATGTGGTGAAGCCATTATACAGTGGATGTAATTATATTAGTAAATACAGTATGCAACCAAATTTGTAAACCTACACCTTCATCTGGCTACGGACAAAACAAAAACTTTAACATTTATTGATAATCTTTGATTTACAGCCCTTTCTCTTGAAGATTAGATATGCAGTCCTTTTAGAATAAAATATTAATTCATGCGATGCAACTATTAGTCATGCTTATGCAGTCATTCTACTGAATTAAATCATGCACTTATTATATTTCATTGACACAAAGAATCCAGTCCAAACAGTTACACCCTATGTCTTTAAGATCCATTCTTCATCTACACCAAGACTTTCAAAGTGTTTCTCTCTCTCTTAAGTTTCCTGACCAAAATTCTGTATCCATTTCCCACACTTCCCAGGTGTGCTAGATCTTCCACCATTCCCCTCCTCCTCGACTTGATCATCCTAATAATATTCCATGAAGAATACAAATTATGAAGCTACCCATTATGCAAATTTCTCCAGCCCTTTGAGTTCAAATATTCTTCTAGCAGCCAGTTCTCAAACGCAATATATATGAAATGAAATTTCACATCCATGCAAAACAAGAAGCAAAATTATAATTCTGAATATTTTAATCTTTAAGTTTTTAGACAACAGGTGAGAAGACAAAAGATGATTAACTCAAAAGTAACAAGCATTCCCTGAATTTTATCTTCTTTTAATTCAATGCTGAATGCACTTTTCTTACCTTACTGTCATCCTCAGCTATGTTAATTCTGTCCAATTACATTCTGACAAGACCACCTCCTAACTAACATTTAATGCATATTCTGTGTTTTCTTTATGGTATTTATTTTTGACCCATTAAATTAATGTCATCAACTCAGACAAGAAATTTATGTATCCCATTCAATTCAAATTCTTCATGATTCTCTTGGATGTGCCTAATAACATATTCAAAAGCAAAGTTGACAAGCGCTCGTGATAAGGCATCTCCTTGTTTCAGACAATTGTTGATAGGAATGCAGTAGACAAATGTTTACCTACAGATATTTTATTACAGGTCTCATTTGAGCACATTTTAATATACCATATATTATTAAAATTTACTGTTGTTTATATCATATTTCAGATTGTTGAATTTGCTATTTATTCACTTCAGTGTATGAATTTGTTATTTTACAACACTTTTAGTTTTCTGCATGAAGTAACATTAAAAAAATCCTACAACTGTTTTATCAGATCATCATTTCCTGAATTAACATACACTCAGTTATTACTCTATATCCATAGATGTAAATGACGCAAATAATAACCTTCATTACATTTCAAAGAGACATGCTATTGATTATTTTTATAAATCCCTCTTTTTAATGCCAATTATTCTTACTAATTCATTCAAGCAAGCTGATTACAATAATCTTACCATATAAAATTACTACTAAGCCACTCACTGGCACTAGTGACATACATAAACAGCAATAGTATGGTAAAAGAGTACAGCATAACAAAAATGTTCTATGCTTGAAGTGAAGGAGAAGTAAGATGGTCTGTGCATAATTTCATATTACAGCATTTTTTCTATATTCATGAACTAAATACTGTAGTAGTGAAATAGTTTCATGTCTGCCTGCCAAATCAAGAAATGGGATGGCATCCTGCTCCACTTCAGGCACCAAAGAGCAGCAGAACCTGAGAAAACTCACCCACTTTGGGAGGGCAATCAGCTTCACATGCTTTCTGAGTCTCAAACCTATTATCATTTCCTTCACAGCCACTGTAATAGAATGGCATGCACTTGTTTTCTGAAGCATCGAAGAACCATCGAGGTAGGCGTTCTGTACAATTTCCCTGATCCCTTGGTAATGCACAGTAATCTGCCAGTATGCAACAGTACAATCAACCATCTATAACAATATTAACTAAAGGACATGCAGAGAATTAAAAACACCACAGGACATGCAGAGGTAGGATAACAATACATGGAAATGTTGAAGTGTGAAGGTCCCTGCTATACCTAAGACCCAGAACCTATATGAAATTAACAAGTTAACCATATGATCGCCACTTCATAGTATTTTTATGACTGTGTTACTACAAAAATTGTAATTTCCACAGAATTTTCTAAGTATGTAGCACCTCACTTATTATTCAGTATTTTGAGGGACACTGTCATTTCAATCCCCTGCATGGAGCGAGAAGTGACTTCAAAATGTCAAATCACTAGGTGCATGTCACAAACTCAGATTTAGCAATTTATTCTATTCAACTATTACATTTAGGTAAGAAGCATTTTAATAGTCAGTACATTGTACTGCTTTATTTTTTACTATTTCCACATCCTATGAAATTGTTTTCTGTATGGATTTATGGAAAATGAATGAATGAAATACTGTCTACTTGAAAGTTGAAAACGCTTTCATAATGATAAGATATTCCTGCAAACATCTTAATTAAATGTGTTGGTTCCTGGGATTCTGTGAATAATTTGTGAAGTTCTTTTCATATGTATAAATGAATATGATCTATTATTTTATAAATGTATACTGTCCTATATTTCTAGGATTCTTTCAGCTGTATGATATTTTTGTACACAGGAGATATAGCTTGATTCTGATAAAAATTTAGTATTACAGAAGCATGCGTACAATTAAACCAGCGTACTTTATCGGCTCCGGTCTTATTTCAACAAGGGATTTCCAGAAGGGCTGAGGGTTTGAGACAGGACAGTCAATATCTCTAACTTAATAGCCTTCCACAAAAGTTGCCACATTACTCCAACATGCTCCCTTAATATGCAAATATAAAGTAATACAAATTAGACACACAATTAAAATGCAGTATTATTATAAGGCATATAACAAATATTTTAAAGTGACTTGTCATATTTATATTACAGTACCTAACTAGAATTAAAGTTGTTCATGATAACCGAACTGTGTCCATTATCTCATGCTGCCCTGACGACACTAAAACACATGCTTATATTTACTTGTCAAACAGTGACTGCACTAAATACACTGAAATACAAATATAATTATATTCAATAACTGAATAAAGTACATAATTTTAACACTCATTTCAAAATGACATATATAATTTTTGCTATATATTTTTGTGATTGCTGTATTTGAAATTTAAAATCAGGCCACTTTGTAGAACAGCAATTGTGACCAAGTGTTCTGTATAGTGAGAACACTACACATATATTTACAAAACACACTGATCCATGTGACAGTTCTCTTCCATTCACTGGTAGATAAATTAGCAACACAAAGAAAATTTATGATACTATAATATGTAGGAGAATCAAAAGAGAAGACCCAAACCAAGAGATTGAACATCTATCATCTCTTAACGTGGTTACAACATGTAATCATAACATATAAAGCACTGGATCACTACCCAAAGGCAGAAACATTAGCAGAATAACTCTGAGGATGAGAGATCACAGCAGCCCATCAATACCAAGAGCTAAAACAGGAAAGAAAGTGCCAGATATATACATAAAATTTACTGCATAAAATATTAGTAGTTAGGAAACTGATATGTGAATGGACCCAAACTGTAATCATTTGCAAAGGATTTATATACATAATACAACAGATGGAAAAAATAGAATGAAGCAACCTATGAACAACGGTGATCTATGTCACTTTAAATATGTACAGGAAAAGAGTAAAATCCTGAAGCATCTGATTACGAAAACTGTGCACAACGTAGCAGAAAAAGGAATTATTAGGAGCCGTACTTCATATTGCTTCTGCCTTCTACAAATTTAATCACATCACCAGTATTTCCTGCAAAACTTGGATTAAATTTATCAAAATATGACATCTAAAATAAATTTTGATCCAACTTATCTTGTCTTGATTTATATGTCCACTGACTGTATAAGCTTTTTCTATGATATTATACAAGCATTTGCTAAGAATGGATCATAAAATAAAAAAACACCTTCCAATTAGGATAGTTAGATTTATATGGAACTGCATCCCAAAATATACTGCTACATAATTCAGGACCAAAGTGGTGTACCAGATGCATACAGAAATATGCAAGTTTCAATCAGGCATAAAATACAGCTATTACGAAGTTTTCATGTATGTGTTCAGGAATGACTGAGAACATTATTTTATGGTTTTTACAACCTTTAGTATTGCTGTGTCAATGACAAACGTAACACAACATTGAATATGACAAGATGATTACCATAAATGGTGAGCAGATAAGGACCTGCCTTATTTCAAGGTACTATCCTGAAAGCTGTTTGGAGAGGCTGAGGAAAACTGCATATTGCAGTAACCCAGCTGACACTGAAACTTCCTATCTTCTAAATACAAGTAACTGACTTACAGTTCATGAATAATGGCCAAATAATATGTTTGACACCATGTGAAACAGAAACACAGGCAATGTCATTACAAGCTTCATAATATTCTGTACAGCCACCTAATAATTACATAAGAACAAAAAACACCATTTCATGCACAGCTCCTAAGTGAGTCTACAGATTCAGATATTTATACAAAATGATTTGCAAGTACTACAGAGATTCTGGTACCAACAGCCGGTCAAACACCCATTGAAGAACAGAAGACAGTGACACAATGAATACCTCTGAAACTTGCATGACTTGAAATGTGGCATTTGTTCTTGCACTCCACCTCAGTTTTGAACCTGTTTCCATTGCCTTGACAACCCCCATACATAAATTGTTTGCAAACTTTCTCTGTGGCATCATAGTACCAGCGAAGAATAGCACCTGGGCAAGGACCCATGTCCTTGGGAAGAGCACAATTATCCATTACTGCTGAAACAAAGTATGTGGTGAAGAGGAAAACAAAAACTGGCATAATGTTGACTACTCTGTCCTTTATGACATTTTGTTACAAACATAACCTAACTTCATATGGAAAGAGGTTATACTCTTGCTTTGACATTTTCACAGTGAAAATTAGAATTTTTACCTATTAGCTTCGGTATATCTGTCTGTAGATTCGGTATGCCTGTCTGTCTGTCTGTCTTGTCTGTCCACATGTATCAACTTCAGAACGACTGACAAATTTTCAATAAATTTAATGATGAAATGTTTACTAAAATTTATTGACATATTCCAATTCTGGTTAAAAGTGGACAACAGTAATAAGCATTTACATGGGGATGTACATATTTTACATCCTGAGTTTAAGCTGCTGAATCTCTACTGTAGTGAATAATGTTTTGAACAGAAATGGCAGAGAAAGTTGAATGCACAATTTATACCCAATGCCCTTTCCAAAATTATCATCACTTTTAAACAACAACAGAAACAAAAGAGGGGATTTTGAAGCTGTGCTATCTCATCTAACTTAAGAGGTGATGGACTGATTCTGACAAAATTTTACACTGGAGGAACTTGCTCAACTGAACTAACTGTTTTATACTATTTGCAACATAGTCTCAAAATTTAGCATTCAAAAATCTAAAGGCAATAACAGAGCAAACATACCAGAATTGTTCAAGTGTGTGTAGATTTCCTCACTTGCCCTGTTTGATAAAACAACAGTGAGATGAACCTATCAAAAGAAATTATGAGGAACATAATAATACTAATATTAATACCATATGATGAAGATGAAGATGATGATGATGATGAAAACAGTGATAATGATGAGATGGTGATGACAGTTGTGGTTGTAATGATTATGGTTATGATTATGATTATCAACAACAACTACAGCACTGACACTATCACTGTAGTAATGCTAGTGCTGTATCAAATAGTATTACTTTATTGTAAGCAATGACTAAACTATCTGAAGAATTATATTATAACCATCATTATCAAAACAAAAATGCTGTCATAACAATAAATGCATTATTATTATTATTTCTATTATTTATTAGTGGAAGGATGATGAAAATAAAGCTACCAAATAATCCCATACATGATATAGGAGTGATATATTTCCATTGCAGATCCTATTAAGAGAAATCTTTCTTACGATGTTTCTGGAAAGAAAGCCTGAAATATGAACTGAAATTAGATTTTATTCATTTAAAGTCATGCGAGTCCTCTAGGTTGAGGAGCATTCTGTATTTAAATAACAAAGAAATAACTTATTTGTCAAATTTTAAATTTGTAGGCATACATATCACAGGAAACTTAAGCTGGGGCACTCATATAAAATACCTTTGTCAAAAATTGAACAAAGCTTTTTATTTGATTAAATCCTTACATGTCTCAGTAAGTATACCTGTACTAAGAAATGTTTATTTTGCAAAATTTGAATCTATACTAAAAATATGGTATTATATTTGGAGGGGAGTACATTTTCTAAATGACAGTAATGCAGTATTTTAAATACAGAAAAAGAGGGCTAAGACTTATTATTAAAGGAGTTAAAAACAAGGTGTCTTGAAAAAGTTTGGTGATTTTAAGAGTTTAATTATAACTTCATTATATATATATATATTTTTTGATATCTTGTGGTTTATAAAAAAGAATAAGATCTATTTCACTCAATATTCCATTATTCATAAGTAAAACATAAGAGGGAAACAGGATTTGTATGTCCAATTATGCAACACTGCTCATTGTAAAAAAGTGTAATTAATATGGGAGTAAAAATGCAAAACAACTTACCCTCTGAATTATGAATAATAGGAAATTTAATGTTTTTAAAAATAAATTGAAAATTTTTTATTATAGAACTGTTTTTCTTCTCTATAAGTGTTTTTCATTAAAAATGATAGATGGTAGTTTGGTAATATGAGTTAGTTTCATATGATATTAAAGTATATAGACAGTCTTTGGACTGCTATCTTCACTAAATGTATGATGCTTTGTTTTACATGGCTGACTTGTGTTTTTGGTGGTTTAAGTATACTGTTGCTTTATACTGAATTGCTGGCAGTTGTCATCCATGGTTGGTAAGCTATAACAAGGGGATATTGATCAAAAAGGGACTGTATTGTACATTTTCTTGTATATTGTTTTGTACATTCTGTAAGAGTTGTTGACATATAATGTTTGGTTGTTTCAACTGACTTGTCCAATTGTGACCGTGTAACAGTTATGGATGTTAAATAAATTAACAATTATCAAACATCACAGATAAGGAATAATACCAGAATATGGTAACCAAAGGTGTCAGTGAGCCACCATACCCAGCTCAAATAATATAACATTATTACGCAAGGGCAGCACAGATAAGGAGTATGAGAAATAAATATTAATGGTACAGAAACTAAAATATAAGTAACTTAAGTACCTAACCTAAAAGACATTAGAGGAAGTGTCAACTGTATGGGATCTAAAATACTGGTAACTTAATAACATAATACATACTAACACAAATTCTTACATGCCACAAGATTATCATTTAACAGTCAATCAGTGCATCATGTTAAGCAGTACAGAGACAGATACTGATAAATATAACACAGAGCGTATACCAGAGAGCACATCAAAGTTTCCCTTCCAGAATACAGCAGAAGGAAATGGTTGTCTGTTGGGTAATAGTATTGGATAGCAGTACTGGCTGTAGAGACTTCTGTTGGCCACTAGTAGTGGTGACCATGTTCTGCACTTAAGCTGCCAAACATAGAACAACACTGCACAGCTTCCTGTTCTATTCCATACCATGAAAGTTACTGAGCATTTCAATACTTACCTCGACTTCTGCCAGGTTGCAAACATTGATGTTGACATGCTGATTCAGTGTGGAAATTATTTCTATTGCCATGGCAGCCACCGTAAGTAAACGCCTGACACATGCGCAAATCTTGGTCATAATACCAGCGAGAGAAGTTGCCTCGGCAAGGTCCTTCAGCTTTGGGCTGATCGCATACATCTGGGACACACATAATGCTTCAATGATTCTTCAACTAATGCTTAACCATAACGTTTTCTTAGGATAAAATGTATATCACATAGAACCATCAATGTTATATTTCTTCTTTATCATTTCCAGAACTTTCTGTTTGCAAAAATTAAATGATACATATGGAAGTAATACGATAAAATTCAAAGTAAGAAGAAAATTACACAAACGATTTTTCCACAATACTGCAATGGAGAAAGTTAAGCTAAAAGGTTCACAGATGAGATCTACAAAGCCAGCAAGAATTAAAACTCGAACAGAAATAATAAATCATTAAAATAGAGATGGTAGGAATGATTAAAATAGACACATGCTTTGAAATGTTTTTTAATATTCATAAAACAGATCACATTTTGGGAATACTTGCTATCATTCATTCAGACCCTTTAAACTTCAGTCACTTATCTAAAAACCTAAAGATTAAAATGTACAGAATTACATTTTTATCTTTTATTTCACAAGGATGTGACACTTTGCTTCTCACCTAATGAAAGAACATACATTGAGGGTGTTTGAGCACAGGATGCTCAGATGAATATTCTGAACTAGGAAACATGAAATTACAGTAGCATGGACAAAACAAAACAATAGCAAGCTTCAAAATTTGTATTGTGCACCAAACATTATTAAGGTAATCAAATGAAGATCTAGACATAAACTGGAGAATATTAAACAAGACTTAAGAGACATAAAGTATAACGGTGTGGACTGGTTTGGACTGAATGAACCAATAGTGTCTTCTGGTAGACCCTTCTGAACACAATGATGAACATTCAAGCTCCATAAAAACAAACAAAACAAACTCCATGATTTTAGTTCACAAGCGAATTATACCGACAGAGCAACTGCCGCTTGTCAGCGAAATTAGTGCCAACTTTTGCGGATAGAAGGTGTCATGTGGTCAGTGGAATGAATCCCAACGGCCGCTAATCTCAATTTTCTAGACCAGAGCCGCTATTTCCTTGAAATAGCTCTTCAATTTTCATCACGAGGCTGAATGGACCCCAATCCAGACCATTCCAATCTGGTAGCGCTCGGAATGGAACTAAGACCTCTGGATCTGTAGCCAGGAACTCTGACCACTAGACCACAGAGGCGGTTTCAAGCTCCATAAAAAGAATGACATTTCTTGATTAGCTCATGAATTGCTCATGTTTCAATTAAAGAGCTTAAGATTACAAACTCAGCAACTGTATACAGAAATAATTTTCAGATGTACAGAACTGAATTCTGTAATCATAAACTGTATTTATTTAATAGATACTGTCATTGATAATGAACCAATGTTCTTATAGTACTGTCACAACTAATACTGATGCTGTAAGGAAACTTACCCAATGTGTCTGGAATTACACAGACATCTTGGCATTCTTCTCTTGTTTCAAACCTATTGTTGTTGCCTAGACAACCACCATAGATGAACTGACCACACTGTTTTCTCTCTGTGTCATAATACCAATGTGGATAATAGCCCTCACAAGGGCCTTCAATCTTTGGCAGGAAGCAGGCATCTAGAATTATAAATAAATATTACCTTAGGTGCATATTCTGTGTATATGCAGCTCAATATTGAAACTAATTTTTATACACCCATGATTCCATGTATCCCTAAAATGACAACTTTTGTGTGATAGTCAACATCAGCTAAACCCGTCAAACCTTATGATAATCTTGTACCACTGATGTCAAGTGGATACTCTTACACATACTAAATACTTGTAGTCTATATTATCAATCAGCATTGGTTACAGTATATGAAATACTAGTTACAACATGAAACACAAACAACACTTCAAAATAACAATCTTATAATTGTTATTTATCAACCTAATACACAAAAATGATATAGGTGATGTTATTGCATCAAATAAATTGAAAAAAAATTTATGATAAAAATTACTAATCATTTTTGATATTTTAAAAACATGGGAGATTAATTATATATCTTTAAATTATGAGAAAACTGCTGTGCTACAGAATCACAGTTAAAATACACTTTTTAAAACTACTGAAAACAGTGTTCAAATATTGTTCGCTGTTAAGAGCTAATTACATGGCACTCACCCCTGCCTGGAGGCTCCACACACTTTCCTTTGCATTCTTCCTGACTTGAAAATCTGTTATCATTTCCTTCACAACCTCCATACCAGAAACGAGAGCAACCTCCATATTCCATGTCAAAGAACCATTTCACTTTGAAATCTCGACAGGAGCCTCGATCTTTATCTTGCCTGCATGCCTCTGAGGATGTTACAACAAGACATTTACTACACAAACAGAAATTCCTCATAAATATTGTCACGTGTAGGGTGGTACGCATGACAGAAATGACGCAGTACACAGTCCTGAACCCGACAGAAACACTATGAATTTTTTCAGCTGAAGTGTAACTGCAATACAAATTCAGGCATACCTCCTAATAAAACCTTTCATTGCCATCTTCCATCCTATTTATAACTACTACCAACTCTGTTAATATACATTCCAACATAGTAAGCTTTGGTCTTTTACATATGGATTATTCCACCTACATTACAACCTTCCATTGCAGCCGCTGATCTCATTAAATATGTGTACTCTTCAATTTGAAGTTTTCCTTACATAATGTTCACCTTATATGGCCACAGCCTAATTATTTTACTGTTTACATCCTCCATTTAAACTTTTCCTCATTTAGCATTCAAAATAATGTAAGAAGAGTGAATATGCTGTGAATGGCATCAGATCTGGTCAAAATGCCACATTTGTTATGCCATGAACTTCCTGTATGATAGAAATGCCACGGTTCACATCTTTTAACCTAGTGTGGCACTAAAAGTGTGTGGCTGGGAAACTCAAATAACACATACAGGAGAAAATAAGATTATTCTTGTACTTAGCATCGCTCCATGTCAATATGGTGGGAACACAGAATTCTAAATCTCTAGAAGATGAAGGTGCACAGGCAGCTACATGCTTTCACAAATCTTACACCACAAGAAAGTGTCCTTGATAAGCAATGATTTAATTTTAACCCTTTAAAGCAGTTCCCCATACCCACTGTATGTTAATCACAACCCTGCAGTTGAAGTGGTTGTATGTGTACAAATAGGTTGCCTGCAGCATGTCAAAGATTTATTTACAGCTGCTCTCTGTTGAGATATATTAAAGCTACATGAATTCCAACATGGTCTATGGATCATGACATTTCTATTTACTGTTTTACCAGAGAATTTCTATACATAGACAGAAGTTTTCATTATAAAACAGCAGTTTTATACTTGTCAGTAAACAAACATGGCTACTTACTTTAGTTCTGTACATGCTTCCCATTAGCCAGCATGCAAAAGAGTGTAAAAATGATAAAGACTGTAATATTGTTAATTTTTCCAAACACTTTCTTCAATTCTATTGGCTAGTTTATAAAGTATGAGAAATTTTGTACAGCATGTGAACAGGATGATACACAGCAATTTAAATACTGCTTGACAGCATAGTGTGATGGAGGGGTTAATCTTTATACATTTTATGTACTCATGACAGCAAAATATTTCCTCTGTATAATATCTGACATAAAGGCCTGATCGAAAACTGTTCTGCACCATCAAAACCCACACTATTCAGTAACATAATTTATTAGTGCTTTAGATTTCTCTAAGAAATATTAGGCGAGGTTTTATATGAAATTATCAAGAACGAGATTACAAGAACATTAAAAAGTCTAGTTTTATTACCCATTTCAAGAATATGTACTCTCTCTACTATTACTTACATAACAATACAGTTACATACTATTAACTTACCTCCAGCCATGACTGGCACTTCCTTACATCCTTCAAATTTCTCTCCTTGAGCTTCTGTTTCACCATCTGGGCAGCAACCATATTTAGAAGCCTCACAACCACATCCATCCTTATTGGGGCCTCTGGCAGGAGTCCTGTCATCCAAGCAGCAACCAAACTCCGTGTTCTCACAGCCACAACCTGATATTGTAATACTTTTAAGTTAATGAGATACAGAAAACTAAGTATATGTTGCAGTCTTGTCACCAGAATGTAGGGTAAAATCATGACATAAAGACAGCTAACAGATGTTTTGAAAATGTGCACAGTTCAAATATTTCAGCATGACAAAAACAAACCAAAATTTGATTCAAGTGGAAATTAAGAGGAGACTGAATTTTGGTAATGTTTGCTACCATTTAGCCCAGAACCTTTTGTCTTCCCATCTGCTGTCTAAAAACATAACAAATTAGAATACACAAAATTATAATTCTGCCTGTGGTTCTGTATGGGTGCAAAAATTTGTCTCTGACATTAAGGGAGGAACATAGACAGAGGATGTTTGAGAATAAGGTACTGAGGAGAACATTTGGACCAAAGAAAGATGAAGTGATGGGAGGCCGAAGAAAACTGCAAAATGTGGAGCTTCATAACTTGTACCCTCCGCCGATTATAATTAGAATGATCACGTCAAGGAGAATGAGATGGACTGAACATGTAGCATGAATGGGGCGAAGATGAATGCATATAGGATATTGGTGGGAAAGGCAGAAGGAAAGAGACCAAGAGGAAGATGAAGGCATAGGTGAGTGGATAATATTAAAATGAATCTTAGAGATAAGATGGGGTGGTATGGACTGGATTGATCTGGCTCAGGACAGGGACAAGGGGAGGGCTGTTGTGAACACGGTAATGAACACCTGGGTTCCATAAATTGCTGGGAAGTTCTTGAGTAGCCGCACAATTGGAAGCTTCTCAAGAAGGGCTGAGCTACATGAAGTGAGTTAGTTCAGTAACATCTGTCTTAAATATTAACTGGAGCATTTTTACGGTTAATTTCATGCATAATATTTATGAAAGGCTATTGAAATTTGGACAAACCTTGATTGTAGGGACCTCTAGCAATAGTTACACCATCAGGACAGCAACCAAACTGATATGTGTAGCATGGACAACCTTGGAATTCAGGTCCAGCTGCAGGAGTGTAACGGTTTGGACAACAACCATATTTGGTGTATTGGCATCCACAGCCTTCTGCATCTGGACCACGGGCAGCTGTTGCATTGTCTGGACAACAGCCATAAGCACTGTACTGACAGCCACAACCTATAAGAAAACCAGTCTTATAATTTGTACAATGACTGATTCTTAATAACAGTGACTACTGCCATTACGTAGGACTTCACCTAACTATTCTCACTTTAGGAGAATGATAAGGAAATTTCAGGCTGAATTTCGCCATATGATGACAGGATTATGTAAATATTTTCTTTTAAGTTATATATGAACAAATTTTAAATATCCAAATAATAGCACAATGAATTGTGCTAGTATCCAGTTACAATTTAGACCCTGGATTTAAACAAATATTTATCCTTACTTATAATTCCCCTTATCTCTTTTGAACATCATAATAAAACTTTGGGATCTACAAAAAGATGGGAAATTTCTTGAGTATTTGAGCACAGCTTCTTAACAATAACTCTGATCAATGGGATTAGGTGGTTGATTTCTCATGTTCATTTATCATTCAGTTATATACAATTCTCACCTACACAACAGACTATTCGAAAGTTTTCACACTTCTATAATCATTCACTTTGTGATCTGTATTTAATTAACTGACTGTTGAACGAATAAAGATTAGCATGTCTTCTGTACTGCTTCTAGGAATGAAATTATATTTTAATTATTTCCAGTCTTCCTCCCCCATCATGTCCTAGATTACTGTCTCTTATTTTGGAGAAGAAATTACTAATAACATAGTTATCGATGCTTCATTTTGCAATTATATATGGTGAGATGTTACCCATCAAAATTGGGAATTGTAGTAGTTATTGTTATATTTTTAAAATTCTTAGTGATGTTGTAGGGCGAGCATAGTTTTTGTTTTTAGTCTGATACATTCTAGGATTGTGGAGCTTTTGACAATGATGTATTTGGTGAGTTGACTTGTTCAAGTGTTGCAGTTGTAACAGTATGAATGCAAAATAAATATGAAATCAAAATGTAACGTTATAAAAATGCTATAAAAATGTTTTACATGTGTAGGAATCTAAATTACTTTAACTAATCTTGTTCTATATAAAAATGAACCCTTTCTTATTAAAAACAAATGTGAATTCAAAGTGAACTTCCAAACAGAGTAATTTTTCTTTGTATATGTTTATTTTACTGATTACATTTTACGTTAAACCATTTTTCTTACTTTGCCTTCCTAACCTGAAAAAAAAGGTAAAACTATCCCTATAACAGGTCATAGAGGCCCACAGGGTTGAGACATCAAGGCTCCCACATTTTCTAGACAATCAGCTCAAAGATGGGAGTGAGGCTGTCAGCCTTATGTGTGGGCTGCCCTTAATCTCCAGGAAGATTCCAGGTACTGATTTCTGTTAGAGGCTGAGTCGACCCCAGGACCAAAATGTGGCTGGAAAGTTTAGGTCAACTGAAAAATCCAATAACCTTATTGTGAACTGAACTACACTACTGCATACCCCTTTCCTAACTGGAAAGGAAGTCAGAACTCAAAATGCCAAACTGAATATGAAGCTGAACATTACGAATTCCTTAATAGCAAAACTGGAAAAATGCACATCTTGACATTTGGTATCAAAGCACTTTTATTACAATGAAAGAATATGTATGATTACCTTCCAAATTAGGTCCTTGGGCAGGGAGAATATTATCAGGACAGCATCCATATCGAGTCGTGAGGCAGCAACCTGCCTGATTGGGTCCATGAGCTGGGGTGATGCGATCACTACAGCAACCAAATTGCTCATCCTCACATGGCATGCGACACCCTTCATATCGTGGACCCAAAGCTAATAAAACACATAGTGTGGTGCAAACTACAGCGTACATGTGTTCAAAGAATGGCAAACATGCTTTTCATTTGTGAGGTGCAATTTTGACTACAAAGACTGTCAGCTGTGGGTATATATAGGTACGTAAACAAAGAAGCTTTCACTAGTCATTCCAAAATAGAAATGAAAGAAAACAGAGGAAATTTGTCTTCTGCTGCAGTGCCTCACTTTTTAATTAGCATGAAAAAATCTTAACTAAAAATGAAATGATTACTTACAAGTAATGTAGTTTTGGGGTCATAATGACTGACCCACGTTTTGCCACTTGTTATGAATCTTTAAAATTTTCCTTTGATTTCTACTTTTTCAAGAAAATCAGAAGTCACAGGAAAGTAATTTCCTTTCTCGTCCTGTGTCAACTGTCATGACCAAGAAATGCTTCATTCTGAATTCTTCATTGAAATGGTCTAATCATGTTCTATGATAAATGCCTATTTCTCCACCAATTTCACAGTAGTCCTATTGTTTCACACTAAATCAAGCATCAAAGCTACTGACCCAACCACTCTACTGGTCAAAGGGCATGCAGTATTCTGGCTGGAAACTCATGACCACATATCAGAGGTGGCACAAATCGCTCCAAAACCAGAATTCTTGGTGAATCAGGTGACTGTCAGATAACCAAATTTACATTAACTGTTCCATAGGTGTAACTATACTACACACACTATAAGCATTAATTTAGTAATTCATATACACTATAAACTATAATAGACAGACAACCTGCTACTGAAAGCCTGTCCTTCGTGCATGATAACTTTGCAGGCTTTGAGTTTATTTGAATGAGATTTTATTCTATTAAAATGCCCATGGCCAATGAAGAAATTCATTTCTACAAATTTTGCTCTGAATGTGTGTATGCAGATAGCAGTTTCAATATATTGGTCACATACCTGGAGAAACCCCATCTGGACAACACCCAAAGTATGATGCAGTACAATTTTCAACATTGATAACACCACATCCTTCAAAGTTAGGTCCAGCAGCAACTCTTCTCCCATCTGGGCAGCAACCGTGAGTTGCATTTGAACAATCCACCTCTTCTACTGTGGGAGGTTCACCAGAACCTGAGGTACACAACCAACACTACCAGTTACATCTCGTCATTACAGATGTGAGAAGTAGCATAACACGAATGTAACATGTAAAATATGATATATGTCTGTGCTAGATAGTTATCACAAGAGCATGTGTGAATATGTCTGCCTACACACACTTTAGGTAGCAGCAGAGAAACTTTCACTGTTTCATTTTATCAGATTTAGACTGGAAGCATCATCAATGCAATACACTGGGGTTATTGTCCAGAATAAAAACATGAACACTGACATTTTCTTTTTTCTTTAAAATGGCAAAAGGAATGAGGATCCTCATAAATTTATGGTAAATAATTATAATGACATACAAAACTTATTTTGACCTCTATGACCCAATTTCAGCTATTCTGCATTAAAATGCAGCATGTTGTGATGTCTAACCAGTTTATACATCTCCATCATATAGGATCACCCTCTAGAAGTAAAATTAACTATTATTCAAATGTAATTTAAAGAGTATGGTTCATTCTGTGTTTTGAATGCTCAGAAAGAAGGAGATTTTAAATTTCTAAAGCTCTACAAAATATAAAGCTTTGCTGGAATAATTATATATGCTGAATGATATTTTAGAGAACTGATGTGTTAAATCTGTCCATTATAAGCTGTGTAAGTTATGGTTCAGGTCTTTAGTAGTGAATTATAAAACCTACTTAACTTCTGAGACTACAGTAAATAATGTCTCAGACATTATTTCAGCCTGAGGCATATATCACACGATAAATGGTAACATAACTCAACATCTGCTGGTATACGGTATAATAAGAGATTACATCCAACCTTCAAGATCTTCACATCCTGATAACTCTGGACCTGTCGCTGCTCTTACACCATCTGGACAACAACCATATTTTGTTGCATTACATGTGTCACAATCAGCAGAGCCTTCACACTCAAAACACCCCATGCCACTGTCTCCCGCCGCTGCAGTAATTCCATCTGGGCAGCATCCAAATCTATCATATCAAACACAAAATCTGTAAGCTTGATGACTGTAGTTATCAATATTTATCAGCACATGGTAAAATAACAAATCACCTTCAGAGGGCGCTAGGTTTAATCTGTAGTTGGACTTTGGTGCATATTTATCTAAGTATAAGCCAGACTTGCTGTAGCTGTTGTAGTTAGTTTTCAAGAATGTGAAAATTACAATATTTCCAACATAACAAGTCTCCAGAGCAGTTGAACTGTGTTTCAGTGTTTCAGGTCTCTCATTAATAAGCTGAAAGATTTAATAAACACGATTTTTTAATTAATTAATTGATTAATTACTGACTCTGTATCCTTGCAGTCGACAGGCAATTCTTCGCAGCCCTCATTGTCATTCCCTTCTGCTATGCTAATGCCATCTGGACAGCAGCCAAATAAGGTCTCTTCACAATAAGTTGGAGGGCAGCCTTCTTTCTTTCGGCCTTTAGCAGGAGATACACCATCAGGACAGCAACCATATTCAGTCTCCTCACAAGTTTTTGGTTGAGGACAACCTGAAAACACCATGTTTTGTCACTTGTTTGATTCCTACTTTAGTTAATTATGTTTTATAAACTGTATATCATTAAATGAGATTCCAATTCTAGATTTCCTGTAGGATATTCAGAGGCAATAAACTCTGAATCAGTCATCTCCCATTCTTATAGATCCAGATTCAATGCCTTATCAACTCATGAAAAACTGATGACGATACTATGATGGCAAAGCATGAAGCCTTTGCTCATGTTAAAGCTCAAGGATAGAAATATAATTAAGACACTCAAGAATCAAACCAGGTCCCTCCTGAATATAAGTAACATGATCCACCATTAGCCATTTCATATGCTGCATGCTACAATTACAAGCACTTAAATTATATACACGCATAAATACACAAGAATCGCCTTCATCTCTCGAATTCAAGCAATAATATAAATTCAAGGTAAAGGTAAAGCTGTTCCTGTTACAGACCAGGGAGGCCCATAGGGTTGTGAGAAATCAAGGCTCACACATTTTCTAGACATTGCCCTCATAGATGGCGGTGAGATTGTCATCCCTACACGCTGGCCACTCTTTACCCCCCAGGAAGATTCCTGAGAGGCTGAGTCAAACCCAGGGCCACAGCATGGCTGGAAGGATTAGATCAATTAAAAAATCCAGTGACCTCATTGGGAATTAACCCTGCAACCTTACCGCTTGTAGCATAGTCCAATTTCCTGATTTATAAATTCATGGTATTGAATATAAAACTGATAACCTAAATGTGCTCAGTTCTTGGCGACACTCACACACCTTTGCTGAATGGACCTTCTGCAACAGTGCTACCATCAGGACAACAGCCAAATTTAGTGTCTTCACATTTGATAGCCTCTGGTTTAGGCTTCTTCTTCTTCCTTTTGCACTTTTTCACTTTCTGTTCCTTGGTGATTGCCACTTCAATAGGACTTGGAGAGGTCCCTTCAGTATCTTCTGTGAATCATTTAAAAAATTAATTATATATTACAAGCCACTGTTCATCTCAAATCCAGATTTTGGAAGGATACATGCTGCTGTCCTACTGTGGACTGTTGTGAAGCACACACGCCAGCCTACTTCAATGTGACACCCATGATACATACAATTCTGGGTTCTCAAATGTCATGTTGTGTATTATTTTAGAATTTAATTGAAATTAAATATCACTGTTAGCCTACACCTCTGTCTTGAGGAGGAGAACTAAACTTATAATACTATCACAGTGTGTGATCGTGTGTGTCACCTTCCCTGTAAAATGTGGAAACAACAGCCTGCTTTTCACAAACCTTGGTATAAATGTTATGCTGCTGTGAACTGTCCCAACCTCATACATTTTACTTTCATACAATAATAGCATGGTTGAAACCCAAACTTGTAACACAGAAGAGACATAGAACAACTTACATATAGGATCTGAATTGATGTACAGCAATAGGTCCTCAAAATATATGAAACTTCTGTCAAGGTAATACTTTTGTTGAAAGTAAACCAGAATGGCCCTGTGATATTTTAATTGGGCTTTGACTGTGATAACTAAGTGAACACTAGAGTTAGGAATATGATATATTTTTATGAATACCGATGAATACTTTACTGGCATAAAAGTGTTCAACAATCTGCCACAAAGTATTAAAAACTTGGGCAATGATACTAAAAAGTTTAAATCAGAGTTAAAGAATTATCTANTTGGGCTCTTAGTTTGACTGTGATAACTAAGTGAACACTAGACTTAGGAATATGATATATTTTTATGAATACCGATGATAAATATACAAAAAACTGTGTAAGAAAGTCAACAATTATGAATATGGTAACAGAATTCGTTTTACTGTTGGATCATAAACTTGTATTACCTAAGTATAACACTAACAACACAGGACTTGTATGACTGCAAATGTGTGCATCAGGAAAACAGGCTTTATGAGTTCCTCTCAGAACTTTATGTTATTCTTTCAAGCTGTGATAAGTGGTAAAAATTTATAAATGACAAAGATAAAAGACTGGGCAAAAACAGGAGCAACTGAAAGTTTTCCATTCATTGAACCTTCCACTTGTTGAAATGATGGTGGAAGAAGATCAGGATCTGCTGGTTACTTTGACCGGCACGTATGCGTACGCAGCACTTCCTTACATTACTTGTATCATGCACAATATGTACTATATATGAAATAATCAACATGATGATAATTTCAGACCTATGATAAAGTTATACAAAGAGCACAAAAACTCCATACACTTCGAAGGACTGAAGCAGGTACCTTTGAAAATTCTGACCAAATAAGAAAGAAATGTGAGAACATGTTAAGCCTAGAAGTTAGCTACTTCCTTTGCAGTCAATGTTCCTTATGCAGTTTTTCCACTGTAAAATAGAACAAAGGAGTTGTGGGATAAATTTTGAAAGTATTTGACAAGCATGATGAAGAAAAAAAAGTGATTATATCAAGCTTCACACCTGCAATTACTGATCTGTTCATGAAAGTATTTAATTACTGAAGCATGATTTATTTCTAGATTCAACTGCAGATACCTCCACATGGGAAAAGCTTTCAAACAGTCTGATAAGTGTAAGATTTGAGGTTTTCACGGCAGTGACTACGAAGAAAGCAGTCTTCTGGGATGTGGCGCCATGTAGATGTGGTGTTAACTGACCTTTCAGAGGAATGTATCAACTCCATCTTCAGTCTGATAAGTGTTCTGCATAGGAGATGACCACACATCTTGGATTAAAAAGTCCTGATCTGCTAATCTGTTTCTATTTATTGGATCATGTCTTACCTTCTGATTCTAATGTCGTTCCTCCTGATAACTCTGTAGGAGTGTACTCCTCTGTAGTTGTTACTTCAGTAGTGCTTATTAATGAAGTATACTGTGTAGTACTTGTGTACTCTTCTGACACTGACTCTGAAGTACTTCTAGTCTCTTCTCTCTCTGATGATGATGATATTGATGTTGCAACACTAGCTGTCTCTTCCATGATCTCTGTGGTACTTCCAAAACTTGATACAGAGGAATCTGTTGTAAATAAGGAGCTTTCTGTTGCTTCCGTACTAGAACTAACTGTGGATTCTGTTGAGGAAAGGGGACTCTCTGATGTGCTTTCTGTAGATTCTGATTCAGTGGTAGATAATAAGTCTGTAACAGCACTAGTATATTTAATGTCCCCTGAACCATTCTCTTCTATCGCATTTGGGTCAACTTCTCCGCCAATATCAGGATGCGTAAAATCAGTACTTCCCATACCTGAACCAGTAAACACACTTGTTATATCAGTGTCCACATCCAAACCAGTGGTCATGCCTGAACCTTCATCTCCTGACCCTGTTTCTAGGGTGATGTCAGAAGAAGTGCTAATACTAGAAACAGAACTTGATACTGTTTCTGAGGTGGAATCTGTGGATTCAGTAGTCTCATCTGAATTATGTGAACTAGAAAAATCAGAGGAGCTTGTCTCAGATGAAGAATCTGTACTGCTTGATGCTTCACTACCAGTAGAAAATTCTGATGAACTTCCAACATCTGTAGGATCTGAGTTATGCAGTGAACTAGCAGTGGATGCATCTAGGCTTGCACTAGATGAAGTACTGCCACTGCTATCACTATTAGAAGGAACTGAATCTGTAGAACTGTAGACATTTGAGCTCAGTGTTACACCAGAACTATCAGAAGCTCTGAAAAATGTGCTCTCATGATCAGAGGATACACCAGTTGAATCACTGAGCATAACATCGTCAGATACGCTTGCAGCATCAGAACTGGAACCACTGAATGAAGAGATTGCTTCTTGAATGGATGATGGACTGGTGGCAAATGATTCTGAGGAACTAGTGCTGCTACCAGAGATGCCAGACTCTGTACTAACAGATGAGAAGTCACTACTGGATGTCAAAGGAGACACTTCTGTGGTGACACCTGATGATGCAGTATCAGATGGAACAACTTCTGATGAAAAGATGTCCAGTTCACCTGAACCTTCAGAATCTGTGGCACCAGACACTGGAGTCACACCCTGCCAACAAAAATGCATTTAAATTTTCTGTATACAAGAAGACCGCACTAAAGACACACATACAACAGAAAACAACACACAAAACTGTGAGATCTGCAAAAAATAATACAATAACGGAGTTCTAGATATGTGACACAACAACAACAAAAAAAAAGACGAGCCGGAGAGCACGGAAGACAAGCGGACAGTACAGTGGTCACCTCACCAATCAAAAGTTTGCCTGATGATGGCCCATGTGTGGCCGAAGCATGTTGCAAATTAGAAGAACATATGATATAAATTAAAGACATTCTAAAGTATTTAACAGTCACTTTTAGTGTAAATGATATACATGTAGTGTCTTAATGACATGTTATAACATTTAATAACACTTTAAAGTATAAAAGCTACACTTTTAGCAAAGAACATGTTTTAGGTGTCTTTTATGTTATTTATTTTAAATATCACTGTTGCATTATTGACGATGTACATATAATTGAATAACTCCTCGATTTAAAATCTTGCTGCTAGCCCCCACAGATCTACAGGATTTAAAATCCTCTATTGCCAGACAACAAAAGTTAATATTAAAATCCCCCCCACCCCAAGAAAAATCTATTTTTGTTTACACATACATATATGGTGCAGAATGGTTATATATACTATGGAAGAATCAAGTTATAATTATAGAATTCTCTTGACAGTGGTTATAAAGAGTATTATCTTCTGGGATACGAAGCCATATAGTCTGTTGGAAGTCAACCAGTGTTTCAGAATAACATATGGCCTCCATGTTCAGGGTCAAATAAGCCAAGCAAGATACCAGTGTGAAATGCTGGTTGACTTTCAGCGGACTACATGGCATCATATCTCAGAAGATAGTACTCTTAAACTTACTGATTCGTCTAGTCCCAGTGTTGTGTCCATGGTGATAACAGTCCCATCTGTCTCTTCTTCACATTCTTCCTCTTCTTCCTCACTCACAATATGTGCTGGCTCCATGGGCATGATCTGATCTGGAAAAGTAAATAATCCTCTAAAGTGATACATTCATACTTGTACAGGTATATGTAACAACCAGTTACTCTCTAGTTTGATATTAAAATTCTTCTATAAACTTGGTGGGAACTGAGAATAATTTTATGTCAACAGTTTGTCATATACTGAAGAAAGACACGGAAATCTATCAAGACGGTCCAGCAGGCTCTATAATTAAAACACCAGAGTAAGCTGCTGACATAGATAGGTAAATGTAAAGCTATCCCTATAACAGGCTGTGGAGGCCCATAGCTTTGTGAGATGTCGAGGATCCCACATTTTATAGACAATCAGCTCACAGATGGCGGTGAAGTTGTCAGCCTTACGTGCCGGTCACCCTTTACCCCCTGGTACTCATTTCTGTTAGAGGCTGAGTTGATTCCAGGGCCAAAATGTAGCTGGATGGATTAGATAAATTTAAGAAAGCTGCCGCATCAGGATTTGATCTCGTGACCTTCCGGCTTGTAGCATAGTGCCTCAACCAAATATGCTACCGCATGCCCCAAACTGCTGACATTCTTCAGGTTAAATACAAGTCCACAACTGTCACTTTTTAAACTTACACAGATCCACTGCTACAGGATTACAATTCTGTTGCATCAGATTTTTATGTTGAAACTGTCAACAGATCACACACTAGTCTGCAGAGTGAATAATGATAAAAGCATTATGCAGATATTCTGACATGTACAGTGTGGGCTAGTGTAAAGTATCCCCAAAGATAATAGTCCTAGGACAGTACACGCATAGACGTGACATTTTCCTGTGTCATAGAGTCTTTGCTCCCTTATGACTGCTATTGTGCTAAGTGGCTATGAAAGTACTATGGATATGTCTTTACAGTAAAAATACTGTGTGCCATTTCAGAACATGGAATCATTAGTGCAGACTTGTTTTGAAGATAATTACATTCTTATTACACAACACTTAACAAAAACATAACTCAAAGATTGTCTCTGAGAATAAAAAAGAATTACTTTTGTGCAAAAAATCCAATATTTATTTGCCAGAAGAAGAATGGAAAGGAGCAATAATTTTTTCCTTAACATAACAAGAACCTTATTATCAGGCATTAACAGTCTGTGTGACAGACAAGCAACAGAAATCATACCCACAAAAACAACATGTTTAAACCAGCCACAGACAACCACTATGAATGCATTGTGTGGTAAAAAATCACTCACCTTTACTACAGGGATGATTATTGCAGGATTCAGAAGAGAAGTGAATTAGACTAGGGTCACAGTTGTTGGCATCAACAGTTTTGTTTTCAATGAAGCACAGAACTTTCCGAGACATAACTCCTCCTCCACATGGTTTTGAACACTGGTCAATAATGATACACACATTTAATTTAACATAAAAAACATGAACATTAATTGCAACTATGAATGCTTCACATATAAATAAATATAACATTACAAACTATCAACCATAATCAATCTAGCATTTCAGTAATTAAATGTCCCAGGTCCAAATTTTGTGATAAAACAATTATATTCTAGGGACAAAGTTGCTCGCGTCCATGACATTCTTTAAGTCATACGTGTCCCCTGGGTAGTGCAAAATGAGCAGCAAACCTTCCCAAACAAAGCAAGAACTTGGGTGCTCTCTACTGGGAAGCAAGAAGCAAAATGGGTTAAATGATCCCAAATGCAGCCACTGGAAACCAAAAATTATATTCTTTAGTGCAGCCTGAAGAGATGTAAGCAACATGGAAACTGGTTTCCCTGTGCAAATTTTGCCAGGCCTGAAAATTTGATGCAATGACACCAGGAGTGAATAAACTCCCATTTTAGCACCCCTTCAACAACACTCTGATACATCTAAGTGTAAGAAAATATATATTCGTTCATTATTCATTATTGGAGGGGGTGGGTTTCCCCATGCACCGCAACCAGTTGTTGATCTCTTGTACGTCCCACTTTGATATTCTACTAGTCGCCATACCCTTCTGATACTGGTGCTTGCTATCAGCCCCGTTCAGCCAGCGAGTTTGGCCCCTCTACTGGCAGTGGTACCCGATACTTCCCCCATCTACCGGAGGCATTGGAAACTACTTGGGCGGGAAACTTTTTACCTAATTTTGCTCAGAGGTCTCCTAGAGACATGAGGATCTTCTACGTGCCGTAAATCTATGACACGGGACCCACGGCTTAAAGTCCCTCCAGGAGGACTTGTTCCCTGAATTTCTCCGCCCTTAAAAATTCCACGACCTCCACTGGGTTTGAACCTGCGTACCTTGAGTCATGAGGTGGGAACGTTACCCCTAGACTACAGAGGCTGCTAACAAAATATGTAAGCTGCATTGCACCCTAGGTAACATGATAATTTAGGACAGCATACACTCTATATCCCAGCCAGTAAAGACACAGACCCTAAGGCTAAGATAAATCTAATATCCTATCATAATTCTAGCAAGGCTTCAACCAGTGTTTTGGTTGACAGGGGCAGCACTGGAGAGCTGAATAAAGATACAAGTTTTATAAGGTAGTGCACATCATGTCACAGAGGACCTGGCTTAATTCAGCTGACCTTAATGCCAATTACCTTAAAATTTTGACATGTCTGAGTTGTAGGCTGAAGGTCTACACCACTAAAACAAATCCCATGAAAGCTGTTGATAGACAGAATCAATTATTTACATCTGTGTTAACACATGAACTTGCTGAGGGGAGTCCAGACTTATAGATTATCAGATTATACAGGGAAACAGCATTGTCAAACTACTAGATGTGTAACAATGAAAAGTAACCAGCATCTATTAATTGTGAATGCGAACAAAGAATGATTATTGTTTTATCTGCAAGCTGTAATATTCGCATGAATCTGTTAACCTGCCTCACACCTCACTGATGACCTGTTTCTAGGTTTCATAACCATCTCCACCATTCTTCCATCCAGAAACCCATTCTGGTTCTGACAACTAGAGTTATCTTGCAAAATGACTGATGGAACCTCACATTCTCAATTAAGACAAATACTGTTTTTTTTATTGCTAGTGGGGTGGGACTAAGTCCCTTGTACTGCGGCCACTTCTGGCCTATTGTACCTACTGATAGGTGAAGGTGATTGTGGAGCAATTGGTGGAATGAAGACTGGCAGGGGAAACCGAAGTACTCGGAGAAAACCTGCCCCAGCGCCACTTTGTCCACCCCAAATCCCACTTGACCAGACCTGGGATTGAACCCGGACTGCCACGGTGGGAAGCTAGTGACTAACCTCTTGAGCTATGGTGAGGTCTAAACATCTTGCCTTTAGGGAAGTTATCTGTGGTAGATACATATGAGGGGGTACCCAAAAGAAACCGAACTTATTTTTTTTTAAACTTATTTATTCAACAATGTTATATTTTAGCGTCCTGTTGCACTGATTTAAGTTCATGATTTGTTTATTCCGTCTTGCAGTGCATACACTTATCTATCTTCTTCTCTCACTTTCACTACATGTTTCGGCATAAGAATGCCATCTTCAGGTGCTACTCAATTCACGTCAAACTAGTACATTGTATGCCTTGTCTTCACTTTAAAATAACTAAAATATATGTCCATCATATATATTGACAAATGTCAATCGTAAAAATATTAAAACTGTTCAGGGTTCCCGATCGCTACGTC